AGTGCCTCTGAGCCTAAGCAGAGTGCCCCGCGCATCCCAGCCAGCAACCCTCTCCTTGTCAGGAGAGGCAGGTCTTGCTGAGGAGCTCGAGTTCCAGGATGCCATTGGGGCAGCTGGGGATGAAGACAGGCCTGTGCACCTCCAGGGACGTTGCAACCTCAGGGCCCCAGAAGACATCCCTCAGCAAGTCCTCAAGGTGCAGGAGGATGTCCTTCTCCTTGGCAGGTGGTGGTGCCCAGCAGCAACTCCTGCAGGTGTGCCTCCCTCTCATGCCGTGTTGGTACCCAGCACAGGAAGAAGATCAGACATCCCAATGGTGCCCACTACCTACGGGAGAGCAGAGAGGAGGTAGAAAAGGGCACTGCACCTGCTGGAAGATCCTGTAGCTCTTTCCCAGCTGCAATGTGTTGAGAATTTGTTAAAAAATGTCCATTTGATTCTGGACATAAGCAGAGTTAGGAGACAGCAGGTTGCAAATACACTGTAACACTGAGAGAGTGAAATTCAACATAGTCTATTTACAAATATACAGAGAGTATAGATTTCAGACATTCAACTGGCAGCATGACATAACATGATACAATATGTAGTATAGAAATAAATGATCTGAGTTACAGCAGATAACATGTCCCCTTTACACATGTCCTTTTATATATCTAGGGACCAATCAGAATGTACATTACATAATTTGACATTACATCAGATCACATCATTTTCTGCAGCTGTACATCCAAGTCTTTAACCCTGGTACATACCTGAATTCACTTCGTACATGACTCAAGTTATATCAGCCATTTTATATTTTTACTATACAACTTTATATTCAATACATTTTAGATCAAAAATCTCAACATGGCGGGCCATCGGGGGGACAGAACATGGTGCATGAAGAAGCTGAGCACCATCTGCCTACCGTCCAGCCCCATGGCTTGCCAGCCAAGAGCCCCACCTGTGTGCACTGCACCAGCATCCCAGGCCAGCCTCACCCTCACAGCTCCGATGGCTCCCAGATGGCTGCTGTTATTGCCTTGGCTGCTCCATCCTCCTTTTCATGTGGGCCCTGGGCTAATGGCCACTTTGCTCTCTGGATAAAGTGGCCCCTTTTGCTATTACAAAGGCCAAAACCCAATTGAAACTGGCTTCTGGCCTTTGTAATAGGTCATTTGCCAAAGGGCTTTTTGTGTTCTCTCGGCTGCCAGTCATGCAAGCAATTGCACACCCAGAGAATGAGCTGTTGTATGGTGGACACCTTAGGCAACAGCTCACAATCTTTGTACAACTGCACTTAAACAGTTGCATAAAGCAAAAGGCTAGCCAAAAGAAATAATATAATTTCTTACCTGTGTTGGAGCATTAATTATTACAGTAGCCCATTCCGTTTAAGGTAAAGTGACACAGCACATTACAAGGGAAGGTGACAGCATCACAATTAGTTGCAATATTAGCATCTCTTTTACTTAGGAAGCAGTTTTCTGCTGACTTTTGTAACTTCACACTGTAGGAAGCCTTCAGTCTTGGGCTACATAAGATAATATATGATGGAGAAAAAAATAAACAGCAGTTCTATGCAGACCTACTTGGGAATAAAACGCATTGAGAATAGTGAGAATTAGTTCAGAGCTTTAGTCAAAGAATCCAGGTTCTCAGAGGGGTTTCAGGATATATACCCATTCTTTTCTAGCGTTAAACTGAGTATAGGATGCCTCTCAAAAACCCATGGATAGAATAACTTTATTATGCTCAAGGACCAGCAAGACCAGAACAATATAAAATAAATACATACAATTGCAATTTTGTAAATCTAAGCAGAATTATAATTCTTCCAAGCCCGAAAAACCCACAACAACCATATAAATCTTCCATTAAAAACATGATTAATCAACCCTTTCTTTCAGATTAATATCATGATCAGCTAAGCTGACTCTATAAGTGAAACTTCTTCCATTAAAAACATGATAAATCAACCCTTTCTTTCAAATTAATAACATCATGATCAGCTAAGCTGACTCTATCTTTAAAATAAGCGAAACCTCGGCCAGTATTATGTTATAAAAACATTGTCCGTCTTAGATCGCAACGTGAACATCTGGTCACGAATAACTATTGCTGCAGCGCAGAATTTGGCCACTTGTCTTGTAATATAAGGGGTATTGTGTATTTTTCACCTTCATTACATCTGAACAGTTATTACCTATAAGTTATGGGGGCTGGATTTGGTTTAGTGACATTAAAGCAGCTAGGAAAAGTTGGACAGGGTACTCCTCAAATGTATTGTTCTGTACACTGCCTAACTCATGAGAACGCTAGGTATATTTCAGAGCTGGAAGCTCCCACCTATAGGAGAGCTTTCACTTTGGCTCGCTACTCAGCTATCCCATCTAAGGTTCTCAAAGGGAGATATAGGAAGACTCCCTATGAGGACAGACACTGCCCATGCCCCCAAGGGGAGGTGGAATCAATGGTACATACATTTTTCCATTGACCTTTTCATCATCCACATAGGGAGAGATTTATCCTGCCATGTTTAGATAGATTGACAGCAGATGCAATTGAGGAGGGTTTGGAAAGACTTAAATGATGAAAAATCTTCTATTACGAAACAAATAGCTAAATTTTGCTTATGTCTGATTAAATATCATACTAAGAAGATGGGTTAATTAGAAGGTTCAAATACTAAATTAAATTAAACTTTGAATTTTGAATTCTCTATATTCCCTTATGTTACCAGGATATTATCTTGTAACTGTGCTCGTTGTATTCTTATGGTTTTATACCACAATAAAGTGATTCATTCACTGCCTAACTGCACGATCCATTTCCTAAGAATAGGATTGTTCATATTTCATTAGAAGCTGGGGATTATGTGAGATTATAGGAGCTCTTCAATATACCAGCATTACATAATTGTTACGTTGCTGGTACCAGCAGTTGTTACTGTGGTGAGAAAAGTATAGTTAGTTGGAACTTTAGTATGACATGTATATATTGACTATCATGTAAAAGACTCTCCAGTACTTTACAATATTGTAATACTAAAAATGCAAAACATAATGGCCAAGATCCTACTCCATAGCTCTGGTAGTACAACAGGAGGTGCATCATTGGTAGTGGCAGAATGCCATTAACTAAAGAGTTCTTGCTTTGATTTTGCTTGTGACTTTGTCTCATTGCAACAGTATGTTGCACAACCTGAGATTGAACCCGAAACCTTTTAATTAGCCACAATATGCTGCTGTCAATCATGTCATTCTTGTTGCACAACTGGACCTACATGATCAGATACAGGCCAGTAAGTTCAGGTAATAAAATATATGGCAAAAAATTTGAAATGTTCCACAAAGCAGTACAACTCACTCCAGGTTTGTTGGCATCCCCAGGAAGACATAATATTTATACCAGCAAATGAGGTGCAATAGATGAAAAAGTTCCATCAAAGTAAATAGAGAACACAAGATTATTGCTCCCACCTCTTTCCATCCCCAGCCTCTGAGGATAGGATTCCAACTCGTAAAAATATGACACACCACCAGATGTGAAAGTCCAGACTAGGGAACAGTCATAGTTATATGTTGATTGGTGTTTTTCCTACTTAGCTAATGTGTGACTGTTAGTGGTGTTACATTTATTTTTGTTTTAAAGTCCAAAATCCTGTTGCTTAGTGTATTAAATCGCAGTTGAGTAGGCCCACTGAATCAGTGGGGATTTGATGAGTACACAATCCTGTAAATTTCATTGATTCAAATGGAGTTACCCTAACTTGTGACTTTACTAATTCACAGTTACAGAAGGCCCATTTGAATCAATGGAGCCTATGGAGAAGATGATTTACCAAATCCCCATTAATTCAATGGGCCTACTCTAGTGTTGCTTTCTGCCAAAGGCTCTTCTGTAGTGGGCTCCATTGCTGTTTAGCCTGGCGCAGTGGCCATCTGACATGATGGGTCAATAGTATCACCACACCTTTCATCTCCTAAGTCACCAAGTTGCACTCCTTAGATAAGATTTTAATACATTACTCTGCTATCCTATGTACTTGAAAGAATGCTCAACTAACATCAGTGGGATATGATTTAAAATCGTTACAGTTATAACTCTATAGTTTATATACAGTATTTATTCTAGCCTTAGATCAATGACAGTAGTGCTATACTCTTTTCCCATTTCATTGTGTTGAGGGAGAGCATGTATTTTTATCCTCCACAATTAGGAGAGATTTCCAAGACAATAATGCTGTGGAAAGTTAAGGGCAACAGGAAAAGAGAAAGACCAAATCTGAGATGAACTGACTTCATCAAGGAAGACACAGCCTTGTGTTTCCAAGACATGAAACAAGGCTGTTAAGGACAGAACATTTAGGAGATCACGCATTCATGGGGTCGGCATGAGTCGGAGGGGGCACATCACATCGATAAGAACAATGTCAAGATAGCGCAGCCGTTCTGAAAACCAATTTAACGAGAAGTAAATCACACATAGTACAACCAAAAACGCGTACGACGAATTACAACCGAGTTTCAATACTCGGTTATTATCTATTATTATTTATTCTCAGCGCAGCCGTTCTGAAAACCAATTTAACGGGAAGTAAATCACACATAGTACAACCAATGTTGTACTATGTTGTACAATTATTATCTATTCTCATGGCTTCGTTGGACGCCGAAACGCTGAAATAGAAATCGAATTTAAGAAACTACAGTGTATCACCTCGTTCCCACCCAGTACTAATAGCGACGTTGGAGAAAATACAGCAATTATTGAAAAGGACTGCGATTGGAACACAGCCTTGCGACAACCAGGTTTTTCATTCACACTTTGGTATAAGATTCAATTAGAATTCTCTTCCGTTTTGCTTTGTTCTCGCTCACGATCAAAGTATTTCAACGCTGTGCAACTCTACCCCGCGGATACTACGAGTCAATGTTCTTTCCTTGGGACAACACCAGATACTCCGCCCTTCGACGTTCTCCGCTTCCTTGTATCTCACGTGACCACCGTATCCCAGAATCCTTCAGCCAAAGATGGCAGCGCCCAGTGGAGGGAGCTGCACGTGTGTGTATGTGCGGTGGGTTTTTACGTTGAGTGGGCTTAGACAGTGAGTTGCTGAATATACTACGTACCTCTATCCAAAAGAAACGTACAGTATTGTATTTCCCTTTCGAATTTAGAGTCATGAAGAACAAATCGTCTTCTCACAAATCGGAGAACACACACAGGGTAAGTAATGAGGGGGTGGAGGGAAACTTTAGTAGAAATGTAGTTGCTGTTTCAAAGCGAAGAGTTTTTCTAACTTCAGGTATAACATATTTGACATTAAGTTATATATGTATCTAAAGAAAAAAAGATTGGGGCAGGCTAAACGGAGTCAAAGCGGTAGGCGAGCAACACATACAGTACTAGCATTCATATGTGCATCATGTTGTGGAGGCGTGTAGTTGCTGCGGAACATACTGTGCAACAGTGCCTCGACAACCTTAAGAGCGCTATGCAAACCGGTTTTATTTCACTTTGCCCTCTACAAGAGGCCTGCAAAAGCAGCAGACTTCTGGTCTTGAGTAAAATGATAAGCTGACATTTTTGTTGCGGAGTGCTTATATTTCTTGGAGTATAAACAATTGAAAATGTTACAATATTTTAGAAACGAATGTGATTTCTTTTAAAAGTTTCTGAACTGTAGGCCTCCTCAGCAGATACATTGTAAACAGGTCCAAATATTAACATCTATTACAAGATCATAGGGCTCTGGGTACAAGTGCCCCCCCATACAATATAGAATACAAGGGGGGAAAAACACGGTATATTGGAGTACATCTGATAAATATGTAGTGTTGATTTGCCTTCTTTGGGCCCTCAGCTGATTTTTTTTTTAAAATGTCAAATTAAACTTTTGTTGACAGTACTTTGATCTGAACACAGTGTATTGGAATAAGCCTAATTAACAAAGCTGTAGTTTGAACTGACTTTAGTAGGGCATGTTTTCATGTGTGTACGTTTGGAATTAGTTGCTGGGCTGTTCTCGTCTTTGCTCTAATTTTCCTCTTCCTGTGGACCATCATAAATGGAAATCAATAACACACATTCCATTCTGGTATTGGACACTAAATAAATAGGGACCCTGTTATTACCCAGAGTACACCAGTCTTATTTTGGAAGGGGGGATTTCTGTGATATTTTACATTTTCTCTACATTTGAACCCATAAGCAAGTTCAAGCAGGTTTATGAGTAATCTGACTTTTCTCACCAGATTACTCATAAACCACCCATAAACTCAAACATAGGCTGCAGGGAAAAATATAACATGTCATAGAAATCTTTTCCTTACTTATATTTCAAAAGTCTAATCAGGGTTTATCCTGGTGTTACTACTACAATACGGAACACTGAATTATAGTGTCTCAAGTAGGTGTAGGAAAGAACTTGTCTTAAACCTTTGAGACCTGTTGCCTGTCAGCGTTAACAAAATTGATCTAGAATGGATTAATAGTCTGATTCACATGTTCCTAAGTATTGATTCATCGTGAGAACGAGTAAATGAAAAAGCAAAATGTGGTGCTTACTTATATGATGTCTCATAATGTTTAAAGTGCTCTCTGGGTGGTTCACAATGAAATTATGCAGGCTAGACATCCCTCCCCCCCACACCTGGGTACTCAGTTTACCAATCTCAGAAGGATGGAAGCGTTAATGTCGAGCTGGCACTCAGTTTACCAATCTCAGAAGGATGGAAGAGTTAATGTCGAGCTGGCAACCTAGGATTGAACCTGGGTTGTGAGCAGCATTTTGGCTGCAGTACTGCAGTTTAACCACTGCACTGTGAGGCTCATCTTTGTGCCAGTCCAGACATTACAGTATATCATAACATTTAGCCCATGATGAGAATCGCAGTTTATTTCATAAAGGATGTTCCTTTATCTATGCAGAAAAATGAGTGCATGTAGAAACTTCTCTTTTAAAAATAAGTTACCTTTTTGAAGAGGTGCTACAGCGACTGCTGGATTGAAGCAAGAGTCTCTTACTGTTGTATTTGTGGGATATGAGCATGTTTTTCTTCTAAACCTGTAATATGTAGCCAGGTGTGTGTCTTAGCTTTACAAGTTTACTGTAAAATGGATGATGAATCTTAATGTTGTATTTGGAAGATTCTGCCCGGTATTGAAAAGCAGACTTTAACATTTCCTGATTTCATTCAATTCAGTAATCCAAGCTGTCTGTGAGCATGGTGTTTCAAATATTTTGAATGCATGCCTTTATGGAATTTGCTCCTTGCTATTTGACAACTTTCTTTTCTGTGTGATGTTAGATAATTGAAAAACAGTCAAAGTAACCTCTCATATTTCTCCTGCAGTTTCTCACCTTCTCCGAACGCTTAAACAATGTAAATATTGATATTATTCATCGCATTGACAGAACAGGGAGTTATGCTGAGGTAAGGCTAATGTAGTCATTTTGCATTTTCATTACTATTCCTTAATGTAAAGATCATGAAGTGTCTTGTATGTGTTAGGTACTTCCACATGTTGTCTTTTCCCATAAGCTGCCAACTCAGAAGTGAAGATGGTGATGAACTCTGTTGATGATGTGTGGTGTTGCCATTATTCTACAGATGTAATGACTGCTCCCTCTTTGCATATGCTGCTTCCGTTAATGTCTTTGGACTTTTAGTGTTAAGCATGAAATGGTTGATAGCTGAGTTGAACTTACCAACCATATGGACATCTGTCTCCCTTGTTTGATGGTCTGGCAAGTTTGTTGTCAGTCTGCTCGTTGGGAGCTAGGCTGATGTCTCTTGGTTTTAGCCAAAGTTGTAAAGATATAAGACTAAAACATTTAGCCTGTTAATCTTAAAATCCTGCTGTAAATATTTTCCTTTCAAAATTAATGATTACTTTTCTCCGTTGTAGTGATTGATTTATACATGAATGTCTGAGGGTAGTGGAAGCTCATTGGATGTTGTTCTTGCCTTATCGTGTATTTGTGACATTTAAGCACTGAAATTGCCCAAACAAAATGGCAGCAGTACTGCCGCGTGTACACACACATTTGTGTGCACCTGTTTTTATGCAGTTCTACACAGTGTTCCATGCAGCATAGAAAAAAATTACATTCTTCTAATTTGCATTTACAATCCAGGATTGCTTCCATTTTCTGATTAAAACCCATTTAGTTTCTGGAGAAGGAAAAAAATTGTTGTGGCCGTCCGATTATAAATCATATAATGACTAGCATAGTGTTTGAAGTTCTAATGATTTCTAGATATTATATGGCTAAGTTACTGCTCTTGTTTTGCAAGAGCCTGTATATTCATTTGAATAAAGAAATGAATAGCTATGTCATGGTTCAAATCATCATAATGTGTTAGGCCACCCTGCAAAAGTCTCATCCCTTACATAAGTATTTGCAGAATTAAGCTTCTTAGATATATATATAGACTAATGCACACTCTTGATTTTGGTAGGAAGTTGAAACATATTTTCATGAAGGACTTGAGAAATGGAGAGAACTGAACCTTACTCGGCACTTTGGTATATTTTTTTCAAATTATTTTATGTTTTTCTATGTGTTGTGCAACACAGATGCATGCATTTATTTTTGTTCTTAGCTTTCAAGTATATTGAATTTTGAGTTTACAGCCAATTCATTTATTGTATGGTGGTGCGTATACATTTGAACATGAAATACATTAGACAGACATAAATGCTTTTTCTGTGGTGATTTTTGTTTGGTATTGAGAGTGGGAGTGTTAAAAATTTAGAAGTTTTCCAGCAAAGTAACTTGAATATGTCTGTGTAAATACAGTGTTGTTGTGTTCTGTCAAGTTCTTTCCAACTTAGAAAGACCTCAGTAAGAGTTTCAAGGTGTGTGAGATGTTCATGGGGTGGTTTACCATTTTCTGACACCCCAGTGATGTTCTGTGGCTGAATGAAGGTACAAATCCTAATCTTCTGTGTCCTAGTCTGCTAGGACATCATGAGTATAAATTACTAATATAAATATATAAGAAAGTGGAATGTGTACACTTTCTGGGTGTGTTGTTTGACCTGACAGACTGCTTTTGAGCCCATACATGTAGATAGTTCTTTCCTTTGTTTGACTTGACTTCCTGGACAGGAGCCACTCTGAAAATAATGGGATTTACAGTGTGCACTGAGAATTGGTTTTGAGTTAAACCAGGACAGCTACTGCCTCTGGATTTCTGAAGCTCTTACTATTGTTTTACACAGTGACATTCTACAGACAAGTAGTCAACAAATGCCAATCTTTCAACCAGCTAGTCTACTATCAGAATGATATTGTGCAGTGCTTGAAAACCCACCTACAAGTGAGAAACAGCCTTGCTTTCCAACCCCTTTTGGAGTAAGTACTTGTTGTTGCCATTTAAAATACACTTTCCTTAAAACAAAGTCTGTAACTCATTTTTCTTTTTTCCTTTTGGGGAAAAATAAATATTACCTCAATGTAAATTGGAGCCTTTGATGTTTGATATCTGAGTGATACTTTCGGATTGTTCATGTATCTTGGTTACGCTTATTTCTGAAGATGTCCACATAAATGTAAGCTTTCAAAGAATCAAGGCAGATGGAGACATTTTCATGGTCATTGGTGTGCATTTTAAAAAGTAACACTGCTTAAGATAACATACCCTGCACTCCATTTAAAAATTAAAGAGGCACAGGTAGCAATTTTGTTTCCTTACTTTCATTTCTAAGGCTTTCTGTGATATATAAAAAGACCTCGTGGCGCAGTGCTTAAACTGCTGTACTGCAGCCAAAACTGTGCTCACGACCTGGGGTTCAATCCCAGGTAGCCGGCTCAAGGTTGACTTAGCTTTCTATCCTATGAGTACCCAGCTCGCGGGGGTTGGCAATGTGTAGCCTGCACAATTAACTTGTAAACCATGCAGCTTGAAGCACTGTGGGGCGGTATATAAGCAGCATATATATATCTCTTGCATAGAAAAAATGTAACTGGTTGTAGAATAAAACTTGTATATCTGGTTAATATTGTGGCTCAATCCCCAGCTCATTGGTTGGTTTTGCCGAATTTACTGTTTCTTAACCTCACACTGACTTTCTAAAGCAGGTATAATTGTAGATACTTGCAGACTATTGAGAGGTGATGTTAACTGTTCTAAAGTTCTGGAATACATTGGATATAACTATTGCTACAGTAATATGTAGGCACACTAAAATATAAGCACACCACGAGACAGCAAGATGTTTGTTCCCAGAGATGTTTATAGCTATTGTTATGTGTGCTTGTCCAAGTAATAACATAGTTTTTCTTTATCTGTCAACCTAGCTTGGTGGTACAGTTGGCTCGTGATCTCCAGACTGATTTTTATCCTCATTTTCAAGAATTTTTTCTGGCCATTACAAAACTGCTAGATACGCAGGATACAGAGCTGCTAGAATGGGCTTTCACCTCTCTTTCTTACCTTTACAAATACTTATGGAGACTAATGGTGAAAGACATGTCCAATATTTACGGGTAAGCTTGTTGATCTATTTTAAATATTAATAGAGCTGTTTTCATGGGAGTAAAACCTGCAGTCAATACCCAGACTTGATAAATCCATGCAAATGTAGTGGAGCAGTTTTTCTAACTATAAGTGCAGATTTATCAGTATATCTATGGAGAGTTTCAATTGCACCAGTGTTATTTTTAAGAAGAAGTAAACCCAGTATTTTGTTGATGATTTGAAATAAAACTTACAATTCCAAATTTTAAAAAAAGGTTTTATATTCTGCTATGCTTCATGGACCTAGCAGATATATTAATTAATTAATTTATATAACATTGTGCCCAGTGAGTTAGAATGGTGTAATTGTAATTCTTTTTATATTATATAGCCCTTGGCGAAGGCTGATAGGCTGGAATGTGTCAGGCTTTTTATACTGGAATACTGGAATAAAGTTGTAGGGACGTGGTGGTGCTGCGGGCTAAACCGCAGAAGCCTCTGTGCTGCAAGGTCAGAAGACCAAGCAGTCGTAAGATCGAATCCACATGACGGAGTGAGCGCCTGTCACTTGTCCCAGCTCCCGCCAATCTAGCAGTTCGAAAGCATGCAAATGCGAGTAGATTAATAGGGACCACCTCGGTGGAAAGGTAACAGCGTTCCGTGTCTAAGTTGCACTGGCCATGTGACCACGGAAGATTGCTTTCAGACAAAAACGCTGGCTCTATGGCTTGGAAATGGGGATGAGCAGCGCCCCCACAGTCGAACACGACTGGACAAAAATTGTCAAGGGGAACCTTTACCTTTACTGGAATAAAGAACATTTCTTTATATAATAGACACTCAGAGTGGTTGTATAGACCAGATGGGCAGGATACAAATCAAATAAATAAATAGATAAATTTCTACTTCCTGGGACTACCATTCTCCCTTTTTTCACCTAATATTTCAGTGGATGTACCAGTTCCTTTCGTTATTTTCTGGTTGCATCTTGCACCAGCCCAGGCCAACGTAGCCACTCATGATGGCTAGGAGTTGCACTCTTACAGTGTCTGGAGGGCCACAACATGGTCTCCTCTCCCATATGCTTGGGTTGTGTTTACTGGAAAGCAGTGACTATTCTTGCTTGGCAGCCGAGATGACCTCAGTGTATCACTCTGGATTAATTTAGTCCAGTTCCCCACACCAGGCTGTTTTTGGCAGTTTGGAGCACTACCTCTAAAAGATCCTGTGGATAATGATCCGTCCTATATATTCTTTATTCAAATTTTATATAAATTTTGTAGAAAAAAAGTTATGAATGTGCCTGGATTGGAATGAAAAGGTGTCAAGATAGACATGAAATCTGGCAAGCACTAATAAAGTACTGAATTGGCCCTTTCCAGTTTTTGTTCTTTTGTGATTGTATTTGAATGTTGTATTTGCAGATTGTACAGCACCTTGTTGGCCCACCAGAAGCAGCACATCAGGAACTTTGCAGCAGAAAGCTTCACTTTCCTGATGCGGAAGGTAAGTGATGACTGTGAAGGGGTCAGTTGGTGGTAAGAAGCAGGAAGAATCGAAGGGGAAAGATGAGGCCGACTTCTGAAATCGAATCAACTGGTGTTCCTTTGGGCTTTAAAACAGTAGCAATGGTTGCTAGGTGTTTTTAAGGTTCTTTTCGTAAATGGCTGTCATTCCTTTTGTTGAGCAAACATACAAAATTGCCTTCCATGTAGTGAGGCCGTTAAGCCCTCCAACTTGTGTTCTCTTTACCTGGTTAAAAAAAATGCACCCCTTGATAAAATGGGGAGAGTCTTTCCTATGATCTGCTGCATACTTGATCTGTTGTTTGTTTGTTTTGGTAAATAACTGAACCTTGGAGTTCTGTTATGCAAAGCTTTCCTAGAGTGGCACTCCTTTCCAGTAGATAGTACTCTAGGTGAAATAGGCAAATATTATTTGGGTGACTGTATGGTGTCTTCCTCAGCTATCAATTAATAGAACAGAAGTCATGTAGCAGTAGTAGTAGTAGTATAGTTTGTAGTTATTCACCTTTCCCACTTAAGTGCTAATATTGCTTCAGATGCATAATGTCAGTAATCAATTATTACGTCCATATTTTGCTGGGAGGGTTAACTGTCTGTAGCAACAGAAAACAGCAAGGAGTCTTGTGGCACTGTAAAAACTGACGTGCCTTATTGGGTGTTAAGCACTCGTGGGCTGTACCCCCTTCATCCGATGCAACTGGTGTATCTGAAGAAGTGCACTACAGTTTATGAAACTTGTGCCAAATAGAATTTGACAGTCCTTAAGGTGCTACAAGGCTTGTTATATTGTGGCTATAGACTGGGGCTGGGGAGAGCGAGTTATCTAAGTTCTTCTTAGAGGCATATACCTAAGTTGTGGCACTTTGTATGGTAATCCATTTCTGTGCTTACCTGCTTTCCAGGAGAATTGTTAGGATGAGTGTCTTCTAAGTTAACCTGCATTGAGTTAGTATTTTTGTAGAAAAAAAATACTACTTCCAGTCTGGCCTCAATCTTTCAATAAATTGTCAAGATTTCTGCTGTGAAAACACAGGAAGAGATGCAGGACTACAAGTATCCCTCTGTTTCCAAGTTAAATTATATATAAGGCTATCTAAGATCTGCTTATGATGCCCACTGTTCAGTAAAGGCTGGGCATGCTCTCACACCTCTGAGTAAAACAGTTTGTGTTAGTTTTTAATGTGAATGTACCTGTGGTTTTCTTTATAGTGGTCATACAGAGGTGGGCACCATGGGGTCTGCAACCACCAGCATGCCCACAAATCTCCCCTTGCACCCCTGAAGTGTCTTGTTATACTTGTGGGGCTCAAGCAAATGACTTTTGTTTCTGGTTGTTCTTTTAAAAGATTGGGTGGCCAGGAGTACATCAGACAGACACAGTGACCGCCAGCTGCCTGTCATCTTTGTTCCTCACAATGCTCCTGTAAAAGGCTGCAGTTCTCTCCAGAGGGCAGCCTCATTTGTACATGGTTTCTGTAGCATGATTACCTCCAATCTTCACAACACAGACAGCTGTGAATACAACACCTGACTGAATGGAATGGTGTCCATTAAATTCTGCAGCAGTTACATGGTGAATAATCTGTTTCCCCCAAAATAAGACCGATCCTGAAAATAAGCCCTAGTATGATATTTCAGGATAGTCATAATATAAGCCCTACCCCAAAAGTAAGCCTCAGTTAAATGAAACCCCACCCTCCACCCTTGTGCAATAACCACAAGGTGACATGACTGTAAAATAAAACATCCCATGAAAATAAGCCCTAATGCATTTTTGGAGCAAAAATGAATATAAGACCCTGTCTTATTTTGGGGGAAACACGGTATGAGATATGAACCAACTTTGCATCTTGCCCTAATCTCTTGTAGTGATCTTTGAGCCTCTGAGAGGAGGGAGAGGGCATCAGTCTTACTAATTAACTAGTAATGATTGTGAGGATATGGGTTTTGTAGTGCTTGCTTTCCAGGCCTTGTAGGTGTTTCGTCTTGACCAGAGATCTAACTGTTCCTGTGAAGAAGAGCCAAGGCCATATCTCAGGACTGATAACCATATGTGGAAAGTTACAAGTTGGGTGTGGAATTGTGGACAAAGGACTTTATGCTGATTGGATACCATCATAAAGCAGAGATTTTGATTTAAGTTATAGAAGGGGTGGGTCAAGTGTATGTGTGTGTGTGTGTGAGAGAGAGAGAGAGAGAGAGAGAGAGAATGAGAGAGAGAAGATGGACGGCAGGTTTACAGCCTTCGTTGGCTGATTGAGCGACTTAGTCATGGTTACTTAGAACAGCCTAGTCATTAAGCAGTAAAACTGTTAACTAGTTAATCATTTTATTGTTTTATGAAAAAATCTTACAGGAGCTTACTTAATACTTATATGCTTGGCATTTAACCAGTACAGTTTGTATCTTTTTTGTATGTCTTTTGTTTATAACCTTTTACTCTTTTGAAATAAATATGTTAGATTTTACCAAGTGCGATCTTTGGGGGCAAGGGTGAGAGTGCCTAAAGAAAGTGCCTTAGCTACGAGGGCTTTGTTTGCTATTTTGTTCTTTGGGTGTCCTACTTGGTCAGGCTGATATGCAAGGTTCACAGTACACCGTTTGGGTGTCCTACTTGGTCAGGCTGATATGCAAGGTTCAAAGTACACAGTTAAAAGAGTTTTAAGCTTAAAGAAGTGAGTAATCGGAAATCTAGGGATAGAAGCTTGCTCATAGTTGCCCTGTCACACACCTACTAGATCTTACCCAGTCTAGAGAAAAGGTGGTGGACGTTGGGAACTACAGTTTGGCTCCTTCCCCTAGTGGAATGGCTACTTGGTCAGGCTGATATGCAAGGTTCAAAGTACACAGTTAAAAGAGTTTTAAGCTTAAAGAAGTGAGTAATCGGAAATCTAGGGATAGAAGCTTGCTCATAGTTGCCCTGTCACACACCTACTAGATCTTACCCAGTCTAGAGAAAAGGTGGTGGACGTTGGGAACTACAGTTTGGCTCCTTCCCCTAGTGGAATGGCTTCTCTTAGGAGACACGTTCCTGACAATGGGGTTTAAAATTCTGGTTTCTCTGCTTAGGTTCTGTAAGTTGTTGAGTGGGTTAGGTGCCTCTGAGCTAAGGAGACCAACCAGTGAGGATTCATAATTCTCCTTCATTGTACTTTGCATGAATGATGCATGTTTTCAAAATTAGGTTTTGTTTTATAGGTTCCTGACCAAAATATGCTTTTGAACTTAATGTTCCTTGACCTGAAAGAACATCCAGAAAAAGTGGAAGGCGTGGGACAGTTAATTTTTGAAATGTGCAAAGGTGTTAGAAATATGTTCCATTCCTGTGCAGAAAAGGTAAATATTTTCAGTGTATGAAGCTGAAGGGCCTGATTCATTCACTCTTTGGTGACTTTTGACTTTGCTTGGTGTTAATAGGTCCAGGCACTTCCCTTAAGAATTGTAGTTCATTTTAGACCAGAGTGGAAGGCGTGGGACAGTTAATTTTTGAAATGTGCAAAGGTGTTAGAAATATGTTCCATTCCTGTGCAGAAAAGGTAAATATTTTCAGTGTATGAAGCTGAAGGGCCTGATTCATTCACTCTTTGGTGACTTTTGACTTTGCTTGGTATTAATAGGTCCAGGCACTTCCCCTAAGAATTGTAGTTCATTTTAGACCAGCCTTTTCCAACCTGCCTCCCATTGGGTGTGTTGAACTGTGTCTCCCCACTTCCTCAGTCATCGTAGCCAGTGGCTGTGTGACCAGGGAAGATGGAATAGAAATTGGGAACATCCAGATACACTGGGTTGGGAAGACTGTTATAGATAAAAAGCAAGTATTGTATATTTGAAGTAACTTTTTGGATTTACTTTTCATTTGTAGCTGAAATTTGAAACCACACAGTTTTATGGTTATAGAATCAGCCAGTATTTGTTTCTAGATGAATGACTACGAATGAAACTTTTTAGATTGAAAATCATCCTCATTATGTCATGATTAGTCTTAGTAGAGCATCAGATTTCTGTGATGTGTAACAACACATCAGTAGCAGTAAACCCCTTAAAGCTACAAATTATTTATGAGACCGCAGTCACAAACACATTTAAGTGAAAATTAGCTTGTTTATGAAATGAAATGTATTTATTTGTGGTAAACTCAGTTCTTATCAGTCACAGGGTTTTTTGTTTTAAACATTCAAGGTATATGTAATTCCTTCCACAGGCTATAGCATTAATTCTGAAAAAGATGGGACCAGTTACGGAAACAGAAGTTAATCTTCCCTGGATCTCTGTTGGAGAAGTATTCAAACATATGGCACAGTCAGCAGCTGGCTTCATCTATAGGGAGCATTTTGATGTGTTCTTCAAATGCATGCAGGTGATTTGCATTTAGTCTGAATACAACAGAATAATGCCATCTCCTAGTCCAATAATTGTGGTTATGTTCTGCCGGGGATCAGATTAGCTTGTGATAATTGTATGGTATGCAGAGGCTAGCATCTTATGGCTTACATACACCACCATAAATCAAACAGTATGAATTGTAGTGGCAAATTGTTGATAATTCAGAAGTCAGCGCTTGCATTCCTTGTCACATATCAGTTGCTTTCATTATTGTGGTTATCATCATTTGTTGCGTACTGCTTAAAGATTTCTATAAAACTGCTTGTAACTGTAAGTGCCAGTTGCTTTCATTATTGTGGTTATCATCATCATTTGGTGCGTACTGCTTAAAGATTTCTATAAAATTGCTTGTAACTGTAAGTGCGGAGCAAAATTTGTGTATGCCTTTGTCTCCAAGATGTAAGAGATTCTGTTCCTAGTTGTTCATGCAGTGTGTGTGCTTTGGTAAGGGGATGGAGGGAGTATAATAGTGGATGCCATTGAAACCGTATGGCTCTTGGAGATCATTTGACATTTAGTTTAATTTTTAAGAAATCTGTAAAGATGGTTAACTTTTGAGTGCAAAACCTTTTGTTGTTGTTCAAACAGGAATCGGTACTCAAACTGCAGGGAAAGATAACTAAGGACAATTGCTGTGAAGCCTCTGACCAGATTGAAAGAGTATTGCAAGTATATTTGACAATAGCAGAATATGGGCATGGTTCTAAAATCACACAGCCTGAAGAAGTTTGTCAGGTGGGTTAAGAGAGAATGTGTAAAGCAAGATGGACTACAACATTGTTTACCTTGTAGATCATGGCCAGGCATTAGAAGCCAAATCCAATGTTAGTTTGCCTATAGTTTGTTAATTGTGTGCTGTCAAGTCAATTCTAACTCATGGCAACTCGTTTCAGGGTTTTCTAGGCAGACAGTACTCCGAAGTGGTTTACTCTTCCCTTCTTCTGTGGGCATCGTTAGACTGTGCAGCTTACCCAAGGCCACACAGGCTGGCCGTTCTCCCAGGAGGCACAGTGGAGAATTGAACTCTCAGTCTCTGGTTCTGCATCCAGATAGATACCTAACTCACTGAGCTATCCAGCCAACTTGACCTATTGAAATAAGTGGGATTTGTTAGTCACAATTAACTTAAGACCCATTGATTTCAGTGGGTTTATCAGCAATCTTCCCTCCCTCTGCCCCTGGAGAGATGTATTTGGCATCACTTGGGCACGAAAATAAATACTTGCTGGCAAGGAAAGTATGTAGCTTCATGAAACTTTCAATTTGTTGAGGAAAATTCAGTAGTTTGTAAATAGCTAAATGCCTTCAATTTTCTTAAGAATATTTTTGAGTTTAGGAATGCTCTATAATTCAAGCCTCACCCTTCAGACAATTTAGTGTTCATAAAAAAAGAGGAAAGTGAAAGTAATTCTTTTTTTGCCTAAACCCAGCTTGAACTTGCTACATATATTTAACTATTTTTTTGTTTTATTCCACAGATATTAACAAAAATGATAGAAACACCTTTTCTCTCACTGACCTGTTGCAGTACCCTGCTCAAAATTATTTCTGTTCTTCTTCTTGATGAGAATGTTTTCTTGCCTGATTCTTTGATTAAAGAAACTGTTGAGAAGGTAAGCCATTAGACTTGACTTCGCTAAACTATTACAACCATTTCCCCGAAAACACAAGTGTTCACATTTTTCCTTACTTTTTAATAATTATTCATAGCCCATTTTTGAGCAATCTGCTTTAGATTTATGCATGATCCTATCAGTAAGGAAATCTATACAGACTAGTTTATTGATTCCAGATGGTCTGTTGAAACAGGTCTTTTTTCTTTTATCACTCAATGTAGCAAAAATGACAGCATTAGTCTCACCTCTCCAGGGCAGGCAAAATGTGGGGATTGTAACAATACCATAAGGCTTTCTGACAAACAGATCTCTAACGGTGAGGGAAATTATCTCTTTACTTTCCTCCTTTGGTGCAGTATTTAAGGAGTGATTTAACTAGCTCTATATTTTCTCCCCTGCGCTACAAATTGCCTACCACATTAATATGCTACATGGAGACAACACATACTTATAGCTTATGTTTCAACAGACTTTCTGGGTTTGGCTAGCATCACACTTCAGTATTTCATGTTTTCTCTTGTGTGTTCTGTTTGTACAACCTCTTATGCATAAATATGGAAGAGGATGGGCGCAGCTCAGCAGCCAAGTACTGTACATGGCTTGCACACAGATATTGCATGTTTAATTCCAGGCATCACTACTCAGTGAATTGTGTTAAAAGTTGGTGGGTGAGACTTCTGACAGAAGAAATAGATATTACTGACCTAGATTGACCAAGAATCACTACTCAGTGAATTGTGTTAAAAGTTAGGTGGGTGAGACAGAAGAAACAGACATTACTGACCTAGATTGACCAAGGATGAGGCCGTAAGATGGCTTTCTGTATTCACAAATGAGTTCAGGAATAGACTTCAGTTCACTTTTCATTTGCTTTTCAATAGGTTTTCAAAAGTGGGTTTGAAAGGTGTCCTGTTTTGGATTTTTCTAAAACCATGTTTCCAATGAAACAATTCGAAAAGGTGGGTGAAGCTTTTATCATTTTTCAAACAATCTGGGAAATGTATTCTGTAAACCTCTTTAAAGGGCACTGTTTGCTTTGATAGGGACAGTTTAGGTTGAACGTTGATTATAGAGAGAGTGTCGTGTAAGAGGAACGGAAATATAGAAGGATTTACTGAATGATAGACTAGAAGCAATATAAAAGTATGGAGATTTAAATTTGTGTTAGGAATGCTGGAACTCAGACACACGCAGATCAAAATGTGTCAATGGGAGCAAGAATATTTATACATTTATATTATATTAAAATATGTCAGCTGCGTTTTACCCACAGGGCCCCCAAATACATTTGATCCTTGACTTTACTTCGAATATTGAGGCATCCTTTATTCTCCTCAATCTAAGGAATATGGCCTTTTAGGCTATACTGAAATGGTAATTTGGCCTGAGGAAAATTTGCTCTCCTTATTCTAGTGTATCCCTTGGAGCTTTTACCATCTTAATCGGTAAAGCTGTTCACAAGAATTTTATGCTTTATTTGTTTGCTTTTCTTTTCAGCAATTTCTTCCCAATTTCCTTGAGTATATAGAGTACTGCATCTGTGGAGATGATGCTCAGGCTCAGGAGGAGGCCTTAACAGTTTTGGCTAAACTCATCCTAGAAAAAGCAGAACCTCCCTCTGTTGGCTCCATGGCATTTGAGAAGTATCCCCTTGTTTTTACGGATTCAGCAAAAGGAGGGTATGTGTTCTGAATTGTAACCCATGACTTCTGGCAAGCTTATTTGACATGGAGAGTGATTTATTTGAAGTTTATTTATTTATTTAAAATATTTTTAACCCACCTTTCTCCTTAGAAAAGGGCCCAAGATGGTTTAGAGCATTTAACTGTCTGAGATCGCAGCTGCCGATAAGCGCGCTTGGAGCGGGGCTGCGGAGGATGGCTAGGGCTGCCCCCCCCTGCGGCCCAAACCAAATTTTCATCTTCTAATGTGGCCCAGGGAAGGTGAAAGGTTGGACACCCCTGGTTTAGAGCATTTAACGACAGTATTTAAGAACAAAACAATGAGTGTACAAAGGTGACGTGCATCATTAAATTTCAAGCTAAAAATGTTAAGCATATAAATATTAAAAAGAAACAACAAAACACCCCTCTTAGAAATGGGAAACACAAACAATACTAATGGCACAGTCAAAGCAGTGATGCATAACAATTTATCTAAAAGGATCACTCTCAAGCAGCCAGTTATTAAGGGAAAGTTTGCCCGAAGAGAAAAGTCTTCACTTGTTTACAGAAGGAGAACTAAGATGGGGCCAGTTTGTCCTGTGGGAGGGAGTTCCAAAGTCTTGGGGCAGTGAAAGGCCTCTCTTGTGTCCCCATCAGATGCACCAGTGAATGTGGTGAGACCAAGAGAAAGGCCTTCCCTGATGATCTTCCGACCAAGAGAAAGGCCTCCCCTGATGATCTTGGTACCCAAGCAGGTTCGTAATGGAAGATACGATCTTTGAAGTAGCTTGGGCCCAAGCTGTTTAGAGCTTTATAGATTCGTCAGATTTAGGTGACAAACCCAAGCTGTTTAGAGCTTTATAGATTAAAGCCAGCTCTTTGTATTGTGGCCGGAAATTGATCAGCAGCCATTGGAGGTGTTGTAACAGGGGGATAATGTGATCCCTGTAACCTGCTCCAGTCAACAGTCTGGCTGTTGCATTTTGGATCCACTGAAGTTTCCTGACACTTTCAACAGGTAGCCCCACATAAAGCATATTACAGTATTCCAGCCGGCATGTAAGTAAGGTATGTGCCACCATGGCCAGATCATACCTTTCAAGAAATGGTTGCAGTTAGTGCGCTAGTTTTAATTGTGCAAAAGCATTCTTGGCCACTGCTGTAACCTGGGCATCCAGACTCAGAGATGAATCTGGGAGCACCCCCAAGCTGTGCACTTGTGTTTTCAGAGGGAGTGTAACTGCACCCAGTACAGGTTGTATCCTTATTCCTTAAGCTGCCTTGTGACTGACCAGGAGTACATCTGTCTTGTCTGGATTAAGTTTCAGTTTAATCATCTTCATCCAGTCCTTTACTGATGCCAAGCACTGATCTAGAGCCGGAACAGCTTCGTCAGATTTAGGTGACAAAGAGAGAGAGAGTTGGGTGTCATCTGCATACTGGTGACTCCAAACCCCAAAATTCTGGACAATCATTCTCAGCAGTGTCATTTATATATTAAATAACATAGGAGACAAAGCAGAGCCCTGAAGGACCATTCAGGCCAGCAACCAGGGTGTCAAATAGGAATCCCCCAGTACCACCTTCTGTTTTCTCCCTTCCAGGAATGACTGGAGCCACAGTAAAAAAGTGCCGCCAAATCTCATCCCAGAGAGACAGCCAGGAGGATGTTATGGTTGATACTATTAAAAGCAGCTGAGAGGTCCAGCAGAACCAGTAGGGACACACCCCTTATCCAGATTCCGGAGTAGGTCATTCACCAAGGCGACCAAAGCAGTCTCCTTCCCAAAACCAGGCAAAGCTCTATTGAAATGGATTTAAATAGCATCTGTCTTGTCTGGATTAAGTTTCAGTTTAATCATCTTCATCCAGTCCTTTACTGATGCCAAGCACTGATCTAGAGCCGGAACAGCTTCGTCAGATTTAGGTGACAAAGAGAGAGAGAGTTGGGTGTCATCTGCATACTGGTGACTCCAAACCCCCAAATTCCAGACAATCATTCTCAGCAGTGTCATTTATATATTAAATAACATAGGAGACAAAGCAGAGCCCTGAAGGACCATTCAGGCCAGCAACCAGGGTGTCAAATAGGAATCCCCCAGTACCACCTTCTGTTTTCTCCCTTCCAGGAATGACTGGAGCCACAGTAAAAAAGTGCCGCCAAATCTCATCCCAGAGAGACAGCCAGGAGGATGTTATGGTTGATACTATTAAAAGCAGCTGAGAGGTCCAGCAGAACCAGTAGGGACACACCCCTTATCCAGATTCCGGAGTAGGTCATTCACCAAGGCGACCAAAGCAGTCTCCATCCCAAAACCAGGCTTGAAGCTCTATTGAAATGGATTTAGATAGTCTGTCTCATCCAGGAACCTCTGGAGCTGAGAGGCCACAACCTGGTCTAGCACCTCCCACCAAAAATGGGAATATTAGATACTGGAGTTTCAATAAATGCATTATATTTCCATTGGATTTGCCTCTCTATAGATACTGCTTCAGAAAATCAGAGAGCAAATTGACAGGAGGAATGGAAGATGAATCTTGGTCCCGGCTACACTAAAATCATACATCTCCATTATTTCCCAACCAGCCTTTTGGCCAAAGGGGACTGTGTCAATAGTAAATTCTTCAGTAGCAGAAGAGCCTACTGTGTATCATTCTAGCCATTTGAGCAGCAGACATTACTTTTTGTGTGCCAGCACATTAGAAATGGTGGAAGAACCATCAGTAATTTAAGATTTACAGATGACTGGTGGAAGAAACATCAGTAATTTAAGATTTACAGATTATACCATATTACTGGTGGAATGACAGTGACATGAAATAATAACTGATAAAAGAGTAAGTGTAAAAGCAGGATTACAGTTGAACATAAAGTCAAAAATCCTTTCTCATCAGTCAAAATAGAAACTGCACCCAAGGAATTTGAGGACTAAGACTTAGAAAGGCTGTTTAGAAGGAACTGAAAATGATTTTTCAATTTAATAGTGTGTCCCTCAATATCAAGACCAAATTTATTCATATTGTCCTATTTCTGAATGATTATGACTAAATGATAATGAAGAAAGCTGACAGGAGAAATGTTGATTCATTTCAAACATAGTGTTGGAGAAGAGCTTTAAGAAGCAAACAGGTTCTAGATCAAGTTAAGCCAAAGGGAAGGTATGGCCTTCAGCTTGCAGGTCCTGAGAAGAACTGTTCGTATGCAGACCTGTTAAAGATTGATTCACGGGATACCTATAAGTTCGAAGTACCTTGATGACACATAACAACAACATTAATCTTTAGCATTGGGTCTGCTCATATGGTGTGATGGTGCAAAAATGTGAGTAATATCTTTAGGATTTTAGTGGTCTTAATAAGCATATTACTCAAGTCTGTTTTTTCTGCTTTTACATAGGAATCTACTTTGGTTTTTCATTTGCCCAGGTTATTTCATCAGTTTTTGCTAGTGATAGATGATATAGTTGTCCAGGTTATTTCATCAGTTTTTGCTAGTGATGATATAGTTGTTTTCTCTCTGACAGACATGTTCAGCCATCTGTAGATAGCTTATGGAATTTTGGTAGACCTCAGTAAGATCAAGCTTACAATCCCTGGTTGTGGTCTAAAGATGAATTATTTTACAATCATCCTGTCCTCTGCAGTGTCAAAGGAAATGATGCAGGCTGCATCTATGGAAATGAGTTTGTGTATATTGGTGACCTTCTCATAGCAGATGGAGAGCTCTCTACATTTTTCCTAAGCCACTGAAAACCCAAACAGAAAATGTTTACACTGATACACCAATATAATTAACAGCCTGAAGCTATAAATAGCAAAATGGAAAGTTTAAAAATCTTTTTTGAGAATTGTTTGTTTGGAAAAGTATTGAGGGAGCCTTTTGTGGTAGGTGGGATACCAGGTATATTGCAGACAAGAGTGAAACAAGCTACCCAGATTACTAGATGTTAGCTGTTTGAAATATCATAGGGGGCACATATATGTACAGTAAAACCCTGATTAGCCTTAGGCAATGTACCGTCTAATGTTCAGCCCTGCTGGGTGGGGCTCCACCTCTTTCATGACTCCGCCCTCTGTGTGTGTGCATGACTCCGCCCTCCATGCTGGGTTCCATTGCAATCTGAACGTAACGCAATTGCTGCATGGAGGAGGAAGACAGCTGCGCGGAGGGAAGTGGATTTGTGCGCATGTCCAGCTTAGTGGAAACCTTGCTCTTAAGATACGTTCCTAGAGTGTAGAGTGGTAAATTGGGTCATTATAACATAATTTACTGGATAGTGAAAATAAAAATGGAAGTTTGAGCTGGTTCCAAGTCTGTGACACTAGAAGAGGAAGAGGAAGGGAAAGACCAGAAGGAAAAACACAAAAGAGGGACTGTGTGTTGTGTGTGAGAGGGGGAAGGAGGCAAAAAAACTGAAAGAAGAGGGAGAGAAAAAATGAGCTGCTGCAGCCTGCCCATGCTTTTGGTGCCTTTGCCTCTCTTACCAGGTGAGAGGGGCTGTGACAGAGCTCTATACGAACCAAATGCTTGCTTACTTACTTGCTTGCATGTGGATGAATATATAGCATGTCTGTTTCTGACAGGAAGAAAGCCTGTGAAAGGGAGCCGGAGCAGGGAGGGAAGCAGAGGGAAAGAAAAGAACGTGGGGGAGAGACTGACTGACTGACTCTTGAGAGGGTAGTGAAAAGCATGTAAAAAACCAGTACTAAATACAACAGTGTTATGTGGGGTGTTACTATAGTTTAAGATACTGATAAGCCTCAGCTCAAATTCGTTCCTTTGTTTTCACTCTAGTAGAAGACAGTTGAGAAATAAGAAGACAGAAGGAAAAGAAGAAAAAACAGTGCTGGATTACATTCTGTCTTGTATTCAGTTATCAGAAAACAAAAGCCCGGCTGACCTTTCTAAGTCTTGGGCAGCTCTTGTAGTTCTTCCTCATTTAAGGTAAATACACCACTGCAGATATTTATTAATTGTTTTCTTCTTTTGTTATGTACAAGTCATAGAAAAAAAAAGAGAATCAGAAACAACTTTAAGAAGACAATAAAATTAAAGGTGCAGCAACAAGAACCAAACTATTGAAAAACTTGTGTGAAAGGCCTCTAGATGTGTAAAAAAAGTCCATACAAATTTACAGTACAGTCTACTGATTTGTCTTAATAAAAATTGCTTGTGGCATCATTGATTTGTGCTCTCAAAGGAAGAAAATGCTATTATTCTTCCATTTGGTAGAACCATAGCTTGTTAGTGCCAGGTGAGTTATTTTTATTGTACTTTATGAAGTAGCCTTTGAGAATGTGGAGTTGGCCACTGGTCCAATAGAAAGGTAAAAAACAATACCGTGTCTGCATTCCACTTGGGTTCATTCTTTGTGTGACTTTATGTTGTACAGAAGGAGGTAGTAATAGATAATAAGAATCTAAGACATCCATTGAGACTTGGCAGCTGTTAGAGGAAATACTAATATCGTACTTGTATCCCAGTGACCTTCTGCAACATTGCCAAGGATCCTGGTGCACACTCTTGTATTATACACTGCTTTGTAGACTGCTGCCCTAAATGCTCTACTGGCTTGCATTTATTCAGCTGAATTTGTCAGCTGTTATAAAGAATTAGCAGTTTTATGCTGATTTTATGTTTTAAAAAGTTTTTAAAAGTAGTTTGTATTTTCAGTTTGCATTAACTTTCCAGCAGATCTATTTAGATGTGTCTTTGTAGAATCATGCTGTGGGTTGTATGATTCTACAGTATTCTGTGTTGTCTTTTTGAGGACTGCAAACTTAAACCCACTTAATGAGGATTAAGTGCCATGAAATTTAGTAAGTTTTCGCATTAAACTAGTATAATGATATGTTACTTCATAGAGATTTAACAATGCCACATTCTTCCTTGCTTTCCCACAAGGTATTAATTGCAACAATCAGTTAAGTTTGTATTTTAATATTTTAACAGACCTCTGGTGAAAGAAAAAGTCATACCAGCAGTTGTGCTTTTTGTGGAATGTCTCTTTGTTGCTTTTGACAAAGGAGAAATCTGCAAAGGTTAGTTCCTGAGAGTTGTTTCTTATTCCAGCCTTTATCATTGTTAGTAGAGAGGTTTATTAACAACATTCATATGCAGATGGTATAGCATTATTAAGTGAGAATTTGATGGTCTGGACAGGTTATTCAGAAAAATCAGTGAAGCAATTCATGAATATGGTCTAAAAATAAACATTAAGGAAATGAAGTTCATGGTGTTGAGCAGAAAGCAAGCAGCCCAAGTTAATGGTCCTGCATAAAATTATAGAGCATGTTGACAGATATATGTACCTTGGAATTTGGTAGAATAAAGAGTGGGAACACATTGGTGCAATGAAAAAAGAATCAAAATAGAGTTGGCTGGGAGCGCTTTCCATAAGATGCTGAGTATAATACTGTATACAACAGAAATCTAGGAATGGCTTTGAAATAGGTATGGTGTGGAGCTGTGTATTCTCAGTTCTACAGTATGACATGGAATTGTGAACCTTAACATGGAAGCATTTGAAAGGCAGAATTTATTGTACGATGTCAATAATTTCTTGGATCAAGAAAATGAAACCCTTAGTTTTAATGAATAAAAACTAAGGCAAATCCATAAAGACAAAGAAGTCATAGAATACATAAAATACAGCAAGCTTAGACTACTTTGGTTACTTATAATGTGACTTGAATGGTATAGCTCGTTGGAGCTGGTAATTCACGGTAAAATAAGTGGGGAAAGAAGGGCATGAAAGAGAATATCTTGGCTGAAAACCTTGCATGCTGGCCTGAGTGCAACTCAAGGGTCATCATTTGGAACTGCTTCATCCACAGTCAGAATAGCCACAGTGCTGTTTAGCAGAAGAGGAAGAAAGCTCTGTAAGGGTGAATAAAAAGATGCAACACCATTTCGTTCTGTTTTCTGGTCCTCTTGAGTTCCACACAATAGAAGCAAAAGCTAGCTTTTCTGATTAATCCTCCTGATCCATTTGATTTCAAAAATCAAAATGGATGGGTTTTTGACTGAAGGCGAACTAACATGGAAGAAGTGAGATGGCAAATAGGTGCTTACTTGCCTAGCTCGTTAAGCAAGGCACCACTGTACTTGCCTGCTGAACAGATGTTTTTAAATCCTCAGGCTATTTTGGAGGAACTGAGAAGAACAAAAAGGGCTCTATATTGATCCTTTTAAAAAAAGCACAGCTATGGCGCAGAGTCCATACACTGTGTGGGAATTGTAGGTTACAGTAGTTGTAATATATAAATGTTGTGTGGAGGTTCCTGTCCTTGCTATCCATGGAAAGTGTTCATTAGTGGCCGTGGTGCCTCCTGAGTGGCTCAACCAGTTCCGAATGCACCATAGGTAGGGTGGTTTGCCTAGTGACTCAGCAGTCAGGGATTTTCAAAGTGTTAGAGATGTTAGCCTGTTTGAGCATGTGTAAGAAAAACAAAGCAAAGAAATAAGGGAATATATTAAAAGTTTTGTGACAACTTTTAAGAATACTGTAACAGATTTATTTCAAAGTGAGCTTTTTGTGGATTGCAGTACAATCACTTTGCAAATTTCCTTGTTCCCATTCTTTGTTATTCCAAGAAGGGTTACTCCTAGTGATATAACTTGAGTTAAAGGGCAGAGAGTGTAAATTAAAGCTTTCATGTGCTGGCTGCTGCTTAAGCCCTGACTTAGCCAATTTCTTTTGGCAAAATGGAAATTGTGGAGCCAAGTTGCATCAGATATACTGCAAAAAGTAAAAGAGAAACTGATCTGCACATTCAGCCTGACGCTGAAAGCCCAATGGAAATTGTGGAGCCAAGTTGCATCAGGTATACTGCAAAAAGTAAAAGAGAAGCTGATCTGCACATGAAGGCCTGACAAAAAATAACTTTTAAAACTTGCACCAAGAAGCCATTAAGAAAAGGGCTGGTCATACTCCCAGTTCTATAGTCTGGTTGCTGCAGTTAAGAAGTCTTAGTCCTGCTGACTTAGCAATGAGAAGACTGATCTGTTTGGAAGAAGTTTTTCCTATACTTTTTGTTCCTTTTCTGGAATGTCCCAGACTTTTCTTAATCGGGACTGCACTACAGTCCTGAAACTGTGCATGCCCATGCTAAAGAGAAGAAACAAGTCAACTTAGTGGTTGTGCATCCTTCATTAACACAGTAATAAATAGTGTGTGTGCTGATGTGTAAAAATTAGCACATGCTAAAACAAAAGCAGCACATTCGGCATTTCTGGAAGAGCTCTTTAGCTACATTGTATCTTTGAAACAATATGGAAGACTTTTGCCCATAACATCTGTTTCAAAAACTGGTTATTCAGGATGTCTGTTTGCAGAAGTTTGCATGACTATATTCTCATCTCAAATAACTGTGTTTATATTTTATAGGATACTAAATTGATTCTGTTTGATGTTGTTAAAATCTGCTCTAATTTGGAATCTCATGTTTCTTTTTAAAAAGAAATTCACATAATTTAAATTTTAAAAATTTATTCATTTCTCCAGGAAGCCTGTTTGTGGCCTGCCAAGCTGTAAGCACACTGCTTAGTTTAGCAGAATCCTTGGAAATTCTAGATCTCTTGCCAGTGGATCGTATAAAGTCTTTGTTAATGTACGTAAGAGAATGATAGATTTGCCTTTGTTATGCGGAATATTAATGCTGAAGTTTATTTATTGCCTGCTCTCTAAAACTGCTTGGAGTAAGTTTTCTCTGAAGGGGTAACTTGCATTGCCCAGTAATTGTTATTGGGTACAACTGTATCATCAGATCAAGAACTTGGTCTCAGTGAAACAAATTTATTTACACTGTAGAGTGCAGCATGAATACTAATGCATATTTAGAGGTCATCAGATATTGGTTGTTGTGAGTTTTTCGGGTTCTTTGGCCATGATCTGAAGGTTGTTCTTCCTGATGTTTCACCAGTCTGCTTTTCAGAGGACATGGCCGAGAACTCTGTCCGGGTTCTGTTCCTACTCCTGTCCTCTGAAGATGCTGACCACAGAGACTGGCAAAATATCAGGAAGAACAACCTTCAGAACATGGCCAAAGAGCCCGAAAAACCCACAACAACCATCAGATCCCGGCTGTGAAAGCCTTCGAGAATCATCAGATATTATTAGGAGAGCTGTGAAGGACGGCATTCCTTGGGGATATAGCCTGTTAGGACCATGTGCTGCCAGCTTGGTGTTGGGTATGTTTCTTCTTGCTTTCTGCCTAGTAGTTTATGGGGTGGCATGGGGAGAGCAGACGGCTCTTGCCAGAGGCTTAAACAGAGTCATATTTTTAAACTCAGCTGGGAGTTATGTGAAATTAGGGCAAAAACCCACCTTGGTTGTAACCTAGTGTAAGCCAGTGATGAGACCCAAGCCCAAGCAGTTTGCAATCTAAATTGCTTCATGGAAAAACTTCCAATGCTTGTAACTACATGTTTAATAGCCATCCTGGCTGAGGGGAAACTGCTAGGAAAACGTATTTGAATCTCTTCACTTCTTGTGAGCATAGCGTTCCTTGTTATGAGCATGCATGGGAGATAGCAAAGATGTGTCCTATGTGGTCTTCTTAAACTACTAATTGGCTTGCTGACCTGGCTGTACAGCAGGCATGAGTTTGAGTAGGAATATAAATCTGTTTCATGAGACTTGTTCCAAGTCTGAGGATGTCCTTGCCGTTTCCCATGCTTTCCCGTATGCTGGAAAGTGAGCGTTCAGCTTCAGAGCTAGATGTTGCAGTTATTACATAAGATCAAACTCTTCTGTAGTGTTGGTTCAGCTTCAGAGCTAGATGTTGCAGTTAAGATCAAACTCTTCTGTAGTGTTTGGGGAGTTGGTGTAACATAGTGGTCAAGAGGCTAAGCTGTGAATTGGGACGTCCCCAGTTCAACTCTCACTTTCGCTATGAGCTAGCTATGTGGCCTTAGGCAGACTACTTTCTCTCATTCTCAGTCCCTCATCTGTAATTTAAGGGAGAAGAACTAGCTATGTGGCCTTAGGCAGACTACTTTCATTCTCAGTCCCTCGTCTGTAATTTAAGGGAGAAGATTGTGGACTTGCATTACATTGTGCACTAGATAATTGACAATGCATTTGAGTCTTTGCACTAGATAATTGACAATGCATTTGAGTTTTTTTACTTTACATTAGTTCACCCTGGTATTTAAGTAGACCTTAACGTATCTTTTCCCCAGGACTTTTCCTTCCGAACCATCTGTCTTGCTATTGGCTGATCTCTATTGTACAAGATTAGCACTGTGTGGTTATCGTGAGCATCTATCCAAAGAGTTCCTCATGGAAGTGTATTCTAAACTGCAAACCAATATTTCAACTGGTGTATCCAGCGTAAGCTTTTTCCTAATCATTAATGTATTGCTGAATATGGAAAGTGCCTTGTTTCCTAGCTTACAAATTATTACTGTTGTGGTAGAATTCCTCAACAAAGTAGCTAATATTGCTAGTATGCAATAAGACGATGCCCTCAGCAGTACATAGCATACTAGATAATTACACCGGTAGGTCAGCTAGTTTTGTGTTGTGCCCTCTGGCATTATATGTCAGACGTATGAGCCTGACTTGAAGGCAACTGAAAAGACACAAAATCGATATAAAAATCCAAAATGTTAAGGAGCCTGTTGATGAGCATCTTAAGCTTTTGGTGACAGCGTCACAGACTTTATGGTAACCATAATGGAGACTCAACTAGGAGATGAAAGAAACATGCTCAGAAAAAGAAATTGCATTGATCTTGTTTCTAGCAGAGGTTGAAGAAGTTATGTAGACTAGAGATCCCTACTTCATAGTTGTCAGTGTTTGTATTATGCGCTAAACACACTTGTGAATTGGAATACTGTTTAAAGTGAATTAATGTATGAATGAATAAGAAATCTTCACTTTCTGCCTGTCTGTAATTTGACTCCTGCTTTGACTTACCATTTACTACATTTGATGAAATCAGTTTTCCTACAAAAGTAGGAGACCTAAATTAAACTATTCTTTTGCTGGCTTGTAATAAACCTATTGTTGTTCCTCCTTCCAAGCAGTGGTCAAACTCCTGTGTAGCAGTGCAAATTGTGTAACTTTTAGAAATGTCCTAAGTTGAGAAATCACTGTAAACATTATCAGTTGCACACTGTGTCATACAACTCATTATGCAACTGATACTGTCTACAGTGATTTCCTAAGTTGGAGCAATTTGCCTCTGAAAATTGCAATTTTTAAATGTCTGTTGATTTATTGAAGTGTAATTTCATCATTAACAGGTACGGCTGTTAACAATAAGGATTTTAAATCATTTTGATGACCTGTTTCCTAAAGGAACAGAGGTAATGTTTCACATGGTAATTCAATCAAGCAAATTTTTGTGTGTCGTTCACATAAAAATAATGCTGGTGAGATGCAGCTACAACGGCTAAGATTGCTGTGGTAGATAAAACACAGTAGAATTTCAAGATTATATTGTCCATCTTTTTGAACGTTGGTGTGGTTTTTCCTTATTTTTAAAGTACATTTGTTTGAGAACTTGCATTTCATGAGGATAAAATTTCCAAAATACTTCAGCACAAATTTTTTAATGCTTGTGTATATCTCTCTTGCTCCCTTTTGTGTTGGTTGTGAAAAGGAAAGAATAGGTCACACTTGAATTAATGATTCTTTCTGATTGATGCAGATATCATTCTAAAGTTTCTTACCCCACTTCCATTTTTGCTGTATGTTTTTTGACATATTGGATGCACTGATGTATAACAGTTATATGGTAACTTATTCTGCTTAGAAGAAGTTGTATGTGTGCATGTAGCCTTGTTTATGGAAATTATGTTGCAGCAACTGTTTTTCTTGATTTACTAAGGATATGGACACTGGAGGAGTGCAATCTGTATTTACCGTATTACTTCAAGCTGAACTTGTGCCAGCAAGCATCAATGATTATCGTGAGAAACTTCTCCACTTAAGGAAGCTGAGGCATGATATAGTGCAGCCCTTGATCCCGGAAGGACCTTTACGAGAGGTAAAGACATGTCTCAGCCTTCTCCCTTTGCTTGAGAAGTTGATAGAGGAGTCAGCCTTCCTTCTTTATTTACTTGTAATGGGCTTCATACCATGTGAGTGTGACAGTAATTCATTTTGAGGAACAGGTTAGTCATATTGGTTTAGATCCAGGGTTTTAGCCATTTACAATAGAACACACACATCCCCATTCTTGTCTTGAGTTCAAGGAAATGGCAAATCCCTGTGTACCTGGACTTGTCAGTTGTGTGTTTGTTTTTTGACATTTGCGTAAGGGAGAAGATTTGTTTTTCTGTGCTTTTAAAACTGCAGGAGATTCAGTTGTTTTGCTTTCAGAGAAAAAGTTACTTCCGTTTATTTCTCTCCATATTTTCCCTTACATTAGTAAGGAATTGCCTTGTCCATCTCGTAAGTCCTGTATATTGTTTTTAGCTGATTAGCAAAATGCCTGATAAGGAATGTGGTGGCACTGCGGGTTAAACCACAGAAGCCTCTGTACTGCAAGGTCAGAAGACCAGCAGTCGTAAGATTGAATCCACGCGGCGGAGTGAGCTCCCGTTGCTTGTCCCAGCTCCTGCCAGCCTAGCAGTTTGAAAGCATGTAAAAATGCGAGTAGATAAATAGGTACCACCTCGGTGAGAAGGTAACAGCGTTCTGTGTCTAAGTTGCTCTGGCCATGTAACCACGGAAACTGTCTATGGACAAACGCTGGCTCTATGGCTTGGAAACAGGGATGAACACCGCCCCCTAGAGTCTGACACGAGTGGACTAAATGTCAAGGGGAACCTTTACCTAAAATGCTTGATATAAATGACCACCATTTTTCAAAGGAAGGCTTTGTTGTATAGGCTGGTGGAATGGGACGGTACAGTGTCACGTTCACCCTGTTCTCGATGGACAGAACAAATGGAGACAGAGCAGGATCATGCCTCCCACATTCTTGTTGCACTTGACCTCTATTCTCCCTGTTTTCAGTAGGAGAAGAGAATGGGTTCTTTGCCCCTACAGTGACAAGGTGCAATCAAGAACCCTGATATGGTCAGGGTTTCTGATTTATGTGCTTATGTCACTGTGTGATTTTGGAAAGGTGGGGAATATCCAGAGGTTAGGAGTAGGGCTGTGAAGTGTGATCTTGCTTCACTTCACTGTGTTGGATCCACTTGTGGTGAGAAAGTTGACATAGGGCTAGTGTGTTTCTGTATATTGTGGACAGGTCCACGTTTGGCTTTCTGTCCAGCAACCTTCTGAAGTGCATTGATTTGTTCTGTGCTCATGCAGCAAAAAGCAGAATGACTTAAATATTAGAGAAGGTAAAGCAGAAGTAGACAACTTTGGTCGATCCCTACACCAATTCTCTGATACCATCTCAGGGCGCTCATAGACCACTAATAAATGAAGTTGAAACGAACCAGAAGGCCACCTCCAATTTTGAAATGCTGGTATTTTGGCATGTAAAACCTAGGTATCAGTGAGTTGTCGGCTGTTTATAAGGTGAGCCGCTGCTCTTTGTTGGTCTGAGTTGTGGCAATTCACCATGTTATGCTAGAAAAAGAGGCCGCTGAGGAAGGAGTGGGTGCTGTAAGAGTAGAAAAACTGCATGTGGCTTCAGTGCCATGCTTTGTTCCCCCCCGACCCGAGGTAAATGGATGCCTTGGGGAAAATGCATTGAGAAGCAAGCCTGCTCCTGGTTGAATAGCCTTATCCCAAATTCATTCTTTTCCTGCCCTACCCAATCACACTAGAATGTGGAGAAATATTAGAAATTGGCTTTTATCAGGGCTGTGCCTAAGGCGAAAGAACAGATGCTACCTTCCACCCACCTACCTGTGTGGTTGTGGAATGATCACCTTCAGGAGGTTAGGATTGTTCCCCCTCCCTTTTATCCTTTTGGTGACAATTAAATGTCTGTTTCTTTAGGCAGGCTTTTAATAATTAAGATCGAGTCCCTCCTGGAATTTTTGTTAATATTTCCTTTCCTTCGACAAAATAGTAGGCAGAGGTGGAAAAGGATCTTAGTGTGGGCCAAGTTTATTTTAGAAGCACTTCTATACGAACTTAACTTTGAACAAGGCCCATTGAAGTCAGTGGGGTTTGCATCTAAGTAAACATGTACAGGTTTATGCTGTTTGTGTTTTCCCCTGGAACTATTATTACTGTATGGTTTTGCTACATAAAAGGAAGAACAAAAAAGTAGCACTCCTTGGGTCCCTTTTAACGAGAAAGGTGGGCTAAAAATATTTTAAGTAAATACAGTAAATAAGCTTAGAAAAATTTGTGATTAATGAACTAGGATATGATAGGCATAGCTCAAATGCTAAATGGTTGCAGAAAAATCACTTTGGGAATTCATGATCGTTATTCCATGAACCATTGTGACTATAGGGGATCAGTTAATTAATACATTGGGGATGTTAAGGACAAATATCAATATTTGTGGGAATAAATGATACTGATCTTATTTTATAAATATTAATGCTGATTTAAAGATTAAAAACAAATATCTTGGAATCTTGATTTAGGTGCCTCTTCGGTATTTACTGGGAATGTTTTATATCAACTTTAGCCCACTGTGGGTTCCCGTGACTGAACTCATAACGTAAGTATTTTTTCCCTACAAAGTTAACATAATTATTAATAATTATAGATACAAACGAAATGTAACATATAAATAAAGCCGAGAATGCTGCACCTGCACTGTTTTTCTAAACAGGAAGCTTTGCACAAATGCCCTCCACAAAGTCATGCACACAATGCCCCAACATTGCGCAATCTACTTCACAAGATATCTTAGCACAAGCATTGCACAATCTCATGTACAACATACGCACAACACTCCGGATATGCAGTGTCTCCAAATGTGAGCTTTTTTAAGGTCTGTGTTTTATGTAGGTTGCACTAGGAGACAATAAACAGAATGGTTTATATTTTGTTGCTTCTAAGTCTGTTTTTCGTTATGCTTTTGTTATGTAACATTTCAAATATAATGTTATTAATTCCTCTTTAATATTTAAATGATTTAATGATTTTAATGATGTAAGCTGCCTTGGGTCCTTTTTAAAGAGAAAAGTGGGGTAAAAATATTTTAAACAAAATAATATAGTAAGAATAAAGACTTTGCAGAAGCAAAACACTGTGAGAATCACTTCATCTTCTGAATCTTCATACCGAGAGAAAAATAAGTTGCATGAGTATGAGACCTGCTTATGAGGTCCGCTGCGTTCTCTGAGCAAGACTAATATAAATTAACCTGTAGAGGATTATGCCATTAATTGAAAATGCAGCCTTTGGGTACATCTGTAATAACTTCAAGGTACTTTTGCAAGAAAACACCCATTGGAAATGCACTCACTTGGTCCAGTGTGTATTTAACCAGATTGTGAAGAATGTCCAAAAATTTAATTTCTTCACTCCATTATGAAGTACTGTAGATATAGGACCAAGTAAACCTACACCATAAAATTATTTCTGTATGAGAAAATAATAAGAAAGAATTGAGATGTGATAGGTTTTCTTCCTCTATTTCATCTATGTGCAAAAAGTCAATAATGCTTGAACAGATTGGGTCACTATGAAAACTGAAGTATAGTATAAGTTTATAAAGTCTAGGCTTTTATTTCAAAGTACTTTTCGGGTTGTCTAGCTGATAGCAAGGGAGCACAACAAATGGGTATAAGAAAGCTGTAAATGTTTAACTGTGTCTGTCAGTAGAGATGGGCATGAACTGCTAGTTTGGTGGTTTGTGCTGGTTCATTTCTTGGCTGAACAGGTTTTTTGAGGTTCCCAGCCCCACCTCCTCCGATGGGTGTCCATTCGGAGGCAGTGCTCCTTCTGAGTGGGCGCCTTCCGGAGGAGGCAGGATGGGGAAATGCCAAACACCTATTTGGCTGAGGAGCAAACTGGCACGAATCAGTGGTTCCTGCTCATCTCTGTCTGTGAGCCAGTTAGGGCATGGCTGTTGATAGCTGACTGGCCTGTTGCCTCATTTTCCAATATATAGATATTTATTTATATATATTCTTTTTATTTATTTATTAGTTCCCATGCAAATGAAATGGAGAATAAGCAATTCTGGAAAGTCTACTATAAACACTTGGAAAAAGCTGTGTCTTATGCTGGTAAGACATGCCATGTACAGGCTCAATAATGATCCAACAACCTGTGTGTGTGTGTGTGTGTGTCTGTCTGTCTGTCTGTCTGTCTGTCTGTCTATATAACCTGATCTATGTTGCAGGATCTTTGGGTGGGTTACACGCCATATAAAATGATTTTTAAATGTAACATATTTAAAACAATTTAAAATCAAAGAGTTTAATGCACAAAATTAAAATCATGGTAAAACCTACGCAGGCCACGATCCACAACGCAAAGCTGTTCATTAACCCATGAAGCTGTTCATTAACTAAGTCTAGGGGTTCTGCTTTTGTACCATTCCAAAGTATTTGTCGTCTTTCACCTCTGTTTCCAGTGCCAAGCGTGGAGGGAGTGAATTATCTTGGAATTATTCCATTACAGCATGGTGAGATAGCCCTAGTAATTTGTTTCATCAGGTACCTTTGAGAACAAAATGAAACAAATTTAGGACTGAAAGATTTATTTTATGGGCTTTCTTGGATTATAATCAACTTCTTCAGATCCTTGGCATCCAGTATATAGGCCACAGGTTGATAAAACACAGTGTACTTTATTGGCAGGCCTAGGGACATAGTGATTTAAGATATAGAAGATGACAACTGAATTCTTAACATTTTTAATAAAATTAAAGCATTGATCAACTAAACTTCCTGGCAATGGGCAAAGTAATTAGTTAATGCTAAATGTCTGTGGCTGATAACCAGGCATTACACCCTTGTCTTTGAAGTATGGGTGCACTAAATTCTGCTCTTAGGAAAGAACTAGTTGAGGGGGGGGGGAGAACTAGTTCTGAGGCCTCAGTCTTGGTGACTCCTCCGTCCATAACTTGTGTTTTTCTTTCCATATCATAGAAGATAAAATGTAAGAAATGGCCTGGTTGCCAGCAGGGCTGCATTTGACACTAGGGTAGTCTGCAAAGGCTCTCCTGGAGGAGCCACACGCTCCTATATCCACTTGCAGTCCTCTGGAACAAGACCTTTATCATTGTGGCACTCACTGTGGGAGATGCCTTTCCTCACAAATGTTTAACATTCACCTGCAGTTTTTAGTTATAGGCACAAGATGAAAACGTACCTATTTGCATAGGCTTTTCCTACATAGGCTTTGTCTCTATTGTCCAACCTTATATCTGTCTCATGGGCTACATAAATACTGTGGCTAGAATCCAGTTGTGTTTATACATATGTGGAAGAGGAATTCTGGAAGTTTGTGCGATGAATTAAGAAGGTGTTGGCTATGAGTGAGGCACTTGGCACTTCTTTAGTTAGCTGCAATTTGTTGTGGCGTCTTCCATAATTAGTTTTCCATGCTTTAAAGGTGCTGTTGTATTCTGACCTGTTTATTAACATGCATATTGTATATATCATTCTATCTATTTGAGTATTGCATATAGTACATGATTTATTATTATTACTCATTACTTTGAAATGTTCAAATCAAAACAATTTATAAATACACAAATGCAGACATGTTACAACTCTCATCTTCAATTAAGTAGTCAACACTGTTACCCACCATTTCCTCAAATAATAATTCTGTATATGAACATAGAGGTGTGGAGAAGAAGTTACTTTTGTTTAAGTATTTGTCTGAATGGCACAATTTTTTTTGGTCTAGTTTCAGAATGTGGATTTTTATGGTTACAAATGTGGAAGTCTTTAATGCAGAAGTTGACTTGACTGTGGGTCCTGAATCGAATTGGTTATCAGAACCAGTGAAGATCCACTCCATTACATAAGTGTTGACTTACCATTGTGCAATTAATTCTGTTGATTTTCATTGGGACTAGTACTTGGATTTAGGCTTAGTTATGTGCTTTTCTAAACCATTTTCTTTCTTTGCTTAAGTTTTCCAGCCATTGCAGAGTCTTGCTTTGCTTACCTAATAAACTTACACATTATATTATCTGTTACCATATCATTTTTCAAATGTTTCTCTGAATGTTTTCATGGTTTAGGTTTGTATAGCCATATTTTTCTGAAGTGACGCTCAGAGTTTGACTTTTTTTTTTTTGTAGTCAGAACAAAAAGTTGAATGCACTGTTTACCAATCCGGAGCTAGGAAAGGGTTTTAAAAGTATCATTTTTCAAATGTTTCTCTGAATGTTTCATGGTTTAGGTTTGTATAGCCATGTTTTTCTGAAGTGACGCTCAGAGTCTGACTTTTTTTTTTGTAGTCAGAACAAAAAGTTGAATGCACTGTTTACCAATCCGGAGCTAGGAAAGGGTTTTAAAAGTTTTTATTGTAAAATAAAATCCATTTGTTTCCCTTCTTTTATAGAAAAGTTTTCCAGCCATTGCAGAGTCTTGCTTTGCTTACCTAATAAACTTACACATTATATTATCTGTTACCCTATCATTTTTCAAATGTTTCTCTGAATGTTTCATGGTTTAGGTTTGTATAGCCATGTTTTTCTGAAGTGACGCTCAGAGTCTGACTTTTTTTTTTGTAGTCAGAACAAAAAGTTGAATGCACTGTTTACCAATCGGGAGCTAGGAAAGGGTTTTAAAAGTTTTTATTGTAAAATCCATTCCATTTGTTTCCCTTCTTTTATAGAAAAGGAGCTACACAATGAATTGGAAGAAGAGCAGGAAGGCATTATGGATGTTGAACGAGAAGAAGTCCATGAAGAAAATGTCAGAACTTTGTATCTTGAACAGCTGAAACGGCAGACATGCTGCAGTGAGAGGATAGATCATGCAAATTTTAGGCTTCTCCTTTGGAAGGCAATGCCATTTGTTTCCCTTCTTTTATAGAAAAGGAGCTACACAATGAATTGGAAGAAGAGCAGGAAGGCATTATGGATGTTGAACGAGAAGAAGTCCATGAAGAAAATGTCAGAACTTTGTATCTTGAACAGCTGAAACGGCAGACATGCTGCAGTGAGAGGATAGATCATGCAAATTTTAGGCTTCTCCTTTGGAAGGCAATGTCAACATTTCCAGATAGAGTAGAACCCAGATCAAGAGAGCTTTCACCACTTCTCCTCGGGTTTATTAAGTAAGTGAGCATTTTCAGTGGGTGCAAGAGAGATCAAAATGTAAATGTGAATTTTGCTGCTGTCAGCCTTTAGTACTGGCTAAATGGTGCTTTAAAACACTTTCCTATATTTAAGACAATTTGTTATTCTGGATTTGTACACATGTATAGATGTTCAGTAATTACAGTATGATTCTAGTAATGCTCAAAACGATGGAGCAATTACTGCTGTGAGATATAGCTTGTTGATAAAAGATGCAGAGGGAAGACAAGACAAAGAAAGAGTTCCAGCACTTCCATGAGTTGGTGGGAAAAGGACAACAAAGGAAGCTAAAATTCATTGTGAAGACTATAAATAAAAGGAAGAGCATCTTGAGTTTGCTGAGTAGAATAACATGAAACCAAAGAAATAGGTAGGAATCAGGGGTGGGCAAAATGTGGCCCTCCAGATGTTGCTGAACTGCAACTCCCATAATTCCTAGCCCACACAGCCAATAGTGAGGAGATTTGGGCCTAGCCCACACAGCCAATAGTGTGAGGAGAGTTGGGCCTAGCCCGCACAGTGAGGAATGTTGGGATTTGCAGTTCAGGAACATCTGGAGGGCTGCACTTTGCCCAGGTCTGATGGTAGGTGGTTAAGGCAGTCAAAATGACAGAATAGAGAAGAATTTTTCCTGGGGCATTTGAGAATCAACAGACCAGGGAGAGCAATGAAAAATAGCTACACTCCATCTCTGTCCCCACACCTTTTGTTTGTTTGTTTTCAGCAATGAATATTATCCTGCAGATTTGCTAGTGGCTCCAGTGGAAGATCTTAGAAAGAAGGGTGTCCATGTTGATCTAAAAGCAGATACCCCAGAGGAAGTAAATAATCCTATCATCAAAGAAGGTGGTCAAGATGATGAAGAAGGAGAGGAACAGAATTCTGATGAGCCGGTGACTGAAGAAATTCCAGTAAAAAAGACTAGAAGAGCTGCAGCAAAGTAGGTTGGCTTAACGCCAATGGAGGAAATGGATGTTTGTCTTTCTTAGAGTAGTTCTATAGATTTGAGCTTTTTAATCTATGCATTTCATCCTTCTTGTTTGTCAAAAGATCTAAGCAGCACCTCCATTGCCACAGGAGAGGACAGATTAACTGTGGCCTGTATTCAGCTTCTTTCCCTTCCTCTACTCCTTGCAGCCCTGGGAGACTGATGGATATCAGTGCTTGATGATGTCTCAGTCTCTGGAACAGGACTTTGGGAACACGGGGCTTTGTCAGGAAGGGGGAATTGTCCCCCTCTCAGTTGCACTGAAGCCTGTGTTCCATGCTGCACAGTGCTGAATGGAAAATAGCCAGCTTTGTAAAATACGTTTTGCAGGTGACTCATTTCCACTAATCATAGCTAAACGTAACCTGTTTGTCCAGGTTGGAATGACACAACAAGCTGCAGTTAGTTTAGAACAGAAATGAACACTTGAATTCTTCCTTGTTGCCATAGCATTGAAAAATAGTGCATTGGATTGGGGCAGAAGGACAGATTCAGTGAAGATCATTAAGTGGAGGAGTTGTAGTGAATGGTGAGAAACTGGTAATCTGGATAAACTGTGCCTGTCTCTAAAACTGGGTTGGTCATTGACAGCTTCTTGCCTCATCCACCCCAGTTATTTCCTTTCAGCAATGAATGGTGAACTGCTAACTGATGGCAATTTATTTGGCAACTCTCATTTTTATTAACCCTTCATAGCCTTTGTACTTGAAAGCACATCAGTAAACTTACTGTTACTTTGAAAACATTTCCTTTCCCAAAATCACATTCTGTTTTGCCTTCATGTCTTTTTTTTGGTTCCATTTTGTTTTTCAGACAGCTCATTGCACATTTGCAAGTATTTGCCCAGTTTTCAAATCCACGTGCCTTGTATTTGGAACCGAAATTAAATGAAATATACACTCAGGTGAAATTTTTGAGTATGGTTTATCCTGCTTCGTATATGTGTACCGTGTATTGCCTTGCCTGGATGGCTTAGTAGAACTGCTGGAATTTATCACTTTTGGCACGTCTGCATGAGCAAAGGGTATGTGTTAGCCTTTGAAGCAGCTAATGCACAGTTATGAAGGTAGAGACTGATTAACCTGCCCCAGTTCCCGATTCTAAAAAGAATTACGTGTCTTGAGCAAAGGAATTTCTTCAAGCTAAGTTTCCTAATTCCTTAGAGAAACTGGTGTGATGATTCTTACATTAAAGATTGATGATTACTGTATTCAACTCTGTACATATAAGGCCAAGTTTCTCAAACCTTATTTTTGTGACAGGGATAGTGGCCATAGTTTAAATCATCAAGTGTAATTAAGATAAAACAAGCACATATCCTTGTCTTTCTCGTGCCCTGTATCCCTGGGGCAGGCAGACCAAAGGGCCAAGGAGAGATTGGAGGCTTGGAGTCTAAGATTCGTTACATCAATTCTGCCCCTCAGGGAAGTCTGTGAGATAATTCAGAGGTAAATGAATTCTTGAATTTCACTAACTGAGAAGGAAGAGGGTGTTTATTGGATGTTGTTGTCCATGACTTTCTGTGCAGTCCTCAGAGTGGTCAGGTCTGCATCTTGGTAGTAAACTGGTAGCGTTAGGTTATTGAGGGGCCTAACCCTGAGGGAGGCCCGGAAAGAAAGAACAAGAAACTGGGCCTTCTCAGCAGTGGCCCCTCACCTTTGGAATAGTCTCCCCCCCCCCCAAGATCCACCTGGCCCCCTCGCTGGGTGTTTTTAAGAGCCAACTCAAGACCTGGCTATTTAGGCAGGCCTTCCCTCCTGCCACTGCTTGATTTCTGTTTTCCCATCTTGAATTATATTGTATTTGTTGCGACATTGTTTGATATATTAGATTGTTTTTAGTCTTTTTTTATTGTTAGCTGCCCAGAGTAGACATTGTCTAAATGGGCAGGATATAAATTTAATAAATAAATAAATTATAGGGCATCTTTGTATGTGGATTAGAACAGAGATTTGGCCTTTGGCTTCAGTAAGGTGGTCCTGGCAAGCAAACCTTTGATAGACGTCTGCCTAGTGCCTAAAGGGCTACTCCCGCTTAAAATCAACATTGAAGGACTACATTAGCGAACCAGCAGCAATCTATATCATGTGGTGGTATGTTGTGTCACAGTAGCTGAAATTCTGTTTATGTAAGTTCTGTGTCATAAGATTGATTATGTCATCAGCCAGGGCAATATTTTTTTTAGAAAACAAACATTTCCACTTCTTCTGGAGGGCCCTCTCAATAATCCCTTTCATCATCAAGAACCTGTGGTAGTTGTGGGACGGGGGGATGTTTAATTTCCAAAAAAATTGCCCTGGCTGATGATGTCATCAGCCTTACACCATTGAATATACCCAAAAGGGTTTTCAGCCAATAAGTATAGAATAGCAAATATTTCAAATTTGTAGATTCTTGTGATATGAACTGTTTTGGTTTTGAAAAAGAGCTTTCTCTTGTGAATCCTCTTGCTATGCACAGTGGGTATCATCTATGGCTTCTCTTGAAATAAGAGAACATTGGATGCATTGAAAATGATTTATGAAATGATTTTGCATCAGATGCCTTTGTTGTCTTTTATGACTTTTGACATTTGTTTCTCATAACACATTTTTAGCTGCTGGCACATCAAGATCAAAATGTGCAAAAAGTTGCTCTTGATTGTATCATGAGTTACAAGCATCCACACCTGCTGCCGTACAGGTATGAAATGACCAGTCATTGTTTGGTGGTTTGCTTTTAGGATCGCTAGTTTCGTCCTCTAATACATTTGGTCTAGGATCTTTCTCTTAATATTGCATTATCTGCCTGCAGAGAGAACTTGCAAAGGCTCCTGGATGACAAGAGCTTTAAAGAAGAAATAGTTCATTTTAGTATTTCTGAAGAAAACACTATAGTAAAAGCACTGCATCGACCTGAACTTGTTCCTATTTTAATGAGGTAAGGCAGTTAGGTCTGTCAGTTTAGAAATTGAACTAGATTGTTTCTCATTGATCTTTAACAATGAAGTATGACAGGTCACATGCCTACTTTCATTTAAATGCATAGTTGTGATTACATTTTGTGGTAATTTGGAAAAAAATGTTGAGCCTCTGCAGTTGTTCTTAAAAAGACGTCAACAAGCCCAGTAGTCTGGAGCCTTCTGTATGCAGGACGGTGGCTTCTGAAAAGTGAATGTAACTATGTTTTTATTGATATTGAAAGGATCTTGTATGGGCGGATGAGAAACAAAACAGGAAGCAAAACACAAGGAAAGTCAGCCACAGGAACCCGTATGGCTATTGTTCTGAGATTCCTTGCAGGTTCACTTCCTGAAGAAATCAAAATGTTCCTGGATCTGCTTTTTGAGCCTGTGAAGCACTTCAGTAATGGTATGCTTTGTACAGAATTTTGCAGAAAACTTGGGTGGCGAATACTGAATGAATGGAAGCAATATGGGGCCATTGACAGACAAGGAGTTAGCATGCCCAGGAAAAGGTGAGGTTTGCAAGACATCCTCTGCCTTGCAAGAGAAGAGGGTAACATCATGCCCACAAAACCAGGCATGCTCCATGGTCCACCACCATTGGACATGCTCAGTAGCCATGGACTACTGAGAAAGCTAGAAAGATAGGAAAGAGGTTGTAGTAGAATTTTCTTCTTGTGCTCCTTACACTTGATAGTGTCCTGAAGGAGGTTTCTAGTCAGACCCCTGAAAAGGAGTGGTTCTTCCAGGAGGTGCAACATTTTCTTCTAGGTCTAATGTGTTAGTGCGTACTCAGGCATCTAAATGGCTTATGCACCTCAGATAATAAAATGGATTGGACAATAGAGTTGAAACCTTAAGGTTGTTGATTTTAGTCCATCTTCTCCAGGTGGTTGTGTTGTGTTTTGATTCACTTTGTTTTGCCAGTTCTGCCATTTAAGAATGTATTTAACTAGCGATTGCTAAAATCGAACTGGGGACCCTGAGAATACATCAACCAGGCTCCTTACCCTATTCACCCATATCCCCATAATTCTGTGACTCTTGATTAATATATTATGGAAATCTACAGTTTTTCATCTTGTTTATAAAAACCTCACCCTGCGTTTCTTCATAATGTATGGTCCTGTGCATATTTACTTTAAAGTAAGCATTACTGTATTCAGTGAGACTTACTTGCATCTTAAGTGTGCGCAGAGTTACAATCTTCTTTTATGTTTTTGCCTAATCAAACATTTTCTATTCTAAACTATAGGTTGCTTCTTTTAAAATTGGTTCTTGGTTACTGTGATGTAATATTGTCTAAGCAATCTAAGCAGTATTAATCTGCCATAAATCGCATTCACATCTTCCATTTAGAATTATACCTACCCAATATTGAGCAGTACCTTCAGTTTTAATAGTCATTACCAAGAAAATGTAGTCATTGGTTGTCTTCTAGCTTGCTCATCATGACCTTTTTTTTTAATAAAAAGGACATTGCCACTCTGCAGTGCTCCAAGCTGTGGAAGAACTGGACTTATCACGAGTCCTGCCTCTAGGTCGCCAGCACAGTCTTTTCAACAGCCTGGAAATTGTACTAAAAAGCATGGGGCATCTGATCAGCAAGTTCCTGCCTGAGATTTTGCAGATTTTACTGTGCATGACAGCAACTGTATCCCATATTCTTCAGCAAAGAGAAAAGGTAAATAACAGTGCTGTACCCTCATCTAGCTTAAATAAGAAGTTGTTAATCGTAAAACTAATTGTAAATGGTTGAAGCAGCCTTTGGTAAAGATCTGGAACAGCACATCAAGCAGTGTTCTGAAAGGTTTACTGTGCTCTGAAGTTGTTAATCGTAAAACTAATTGTAAATTGAAGCAGCCTTTGGATCTGGAACAGCACATCAAGCAATGTTCTGAAAGGTTTACTGTGCTCTATTTCAAATTAGAGGGGGAAAGTTTCTCCTTTTGCAAAATGTCTTAATTTATTCAAGGCTAAACATGCAATTTGATCAATAAATCAATCTTCATATAATGTCAAGAGGTATTATCAATTAATTTATCTGTTGGAAGTGTTTTTACTTCATATAATGTCAAGAGGTATTATCAATTTATCTGTTGAAAGTGTTTTTATAGCCCCTGTTCTAATCATTACATGCGATTCAGGCATTTACGTGGCAGAATATTCTCTTGTATTGTTCTGTTAAAATCTTCTCATGGCAGAGATTCTCATGTTGATCGATGTTTTGCTCTTAGTGGGACAGTCTGGACCTCATTTTTACCTTTCTATCTCAGTGTCTCCCAGTCTTGGGTCCCCAGATGTTCTGGGACAAAATCTCTCAGAATCCTTCATCATTAGCTGTGCTGGCCAGGAATTCTGGCAGCTGTAGTCTAAGAACATCTGAGGATCCAAAGCTGGGAACAAGTTCAAAGGAGGGCGACAAGGATGATCATGGGACTAGAAACCAAGCCACACGAGGAAAGACTGAAAGAAGTCAGCATGTTTAGCCTTGAAAAAAGAAGACTATGGGGAGATTTGAAAGATAGTTGTGCAAAAGAGAGGCAGGATCTGTTTTCAATCATCCCAGAGTGCAGAACATGTAATAATGGGCACAAGTTAGAGGAAGCCAGATTTAGGCTGAGTATCAGGAAAGATCTTAACTGTTAGTGCAGTATAACGATTGAACTGATTACCTTGGGAGGTGGTGAGTGTTGTAGCACTGGAGACATTCAAGAGAAATTTGGGCAACCTCCTGCTAGATTTGCTTTGATTTGGATCCCTGCCTTGAGCATGGGGTTGGACATGATGGCCTTATAGGCCCCTTCCATTTTGATTACTCTGTGAATCTATCTAGAGGAGTCAGTGTCTCTCTTGTGACTTGTTCTTAATAACCCTATGTTATTGAAATAATAACATAGGCTGAAATAATGAGTAGCATGGAGTCACATGGTAAGCTTCTTGATAAAGAGGGATTTCACCTTGTATCTTTCCCAGTCACGGAAGTCGTGTTGCGGAGCTACATCCTGAGACTTGGCACTGCACCTACAGTAGCTACAATCTCAATAAAGTGGAGGCGCTCTTCACAAAGCACTTCTGCTAGTGCATTTGCACAGCTGTTCAAGACAGGAACTGTGGGTGGATTGTGCAGTTGCCATGCATAGTCTTTTTTGCCTGGGTGGAATGCTCAGCATATTTACAATGGCATAGCATTACTATATTTATTTTATTTTTATTTATTTTATTAGATTTATACCTCGCCCATCTGGACAGATAGTCTACTCTGGGTGCATAACAGAATTTAAAAACAATAAAACCAATAACATACGAAAATCCAAGATGTAAAAATATAGATATTAAAATACAGCAGGAGGGAAAGCCTGCCTAAATAGCCATGTCTTTAGTTTACTTCAATATGCCTTGATGAACAGGATTCCCACCACTAATATCTCTATCTTCCCCACTATTATAACAATAGCTGGTCAGTATAAAAAGAGGGGTTGAACAGAAATATTATAACACTGTAATATTTGATTACAAGTGTTGCTATAGGTAGGCATGCTTCTTCCATTTATACTGAAAGAAAAAAGTTACATTTTGACAGGAGTGCTACTGATGTGCTACTGTAGCATTACTTTTGCATACAAGGTTATATAGTAACTTTGGCATTAAAAGCTGTAGTTCAGTAACTCTTGGTTTCACAAATACCCTTTAAGACTGTCATTTGTTAAACTTAATTTGACGTTTCATTATTTAGTGAAGAGGCAAAAGTCACTAAAGGATTAGGAGAAACTTGTTTATATTTGGTACTTTTCTCAATAGGTTAGTCATTTATTACAGACTAATATTCCCATTTGTGTTAAATTTTTACTTTTATAGTTATAAATGGAGTTACAGGCTTACTGTTTCCTGCAGTTTTCATACGAGGCTGAACCTGTTCCTTGCAGGCTCATTCTCTGTAGATTGTGTTTTCCTTCAGTGTCATGCAAATAGATCTCAGATGTTTATCTGGTGTACAATTTTTAACATTCATTTCAGGAGCAACCTCTGCCAATAATTTAAGAGTTTGCCAATATTTTAGCCCCTGTGCCTGAATAAAAAAACATGTTGTGAAGATAACTATTCTGCTCATGTTTCTAAGAGAAAAGAATGAAACTCCCAGATTTGTCATGATTTGTTTTGCAGATTCAACTCAGATTGATTAACCCTCTGAAAAACCTGAGGAAACTTGGACTTAAACTTGTAGCAGACTTTTTCTCCGACTTTGAAAATTATAACTTTAGTGTGGAAGAGATTGATGCAGTTTTTCATGCAGTGGTGTGGCCCCAGGTAAGGGCTGTGTGACATTAAAAATTGTCTTGTTTCAGAAAACATGTCTCTTAATGGTGTCTTGCCTTTCCCAGAATGTAGAAACCACATTCTCTGAATGGAAGGGAGTACTTGAGGGAAAAGGAAAAGGAAATGCTAAAACAAAATGGCTGACTTTGATTATTTATTCAGTATCCCTTCAGGACATGGCCTTGGAGTTTCTCAACAACAAAATGCAAATAGTTTTTATCCTTCCACAAACTGTACCAGGCAGGGTACATACATATTCCCAAATAGCAAGACCTGCTACATTCTCTCTTTATTAGACTAATTGCTGCTGAAATGTGACACCCTACACCATGACTGGTGTGGTACTGCGGGAGACACAAGTTGTTAGGAAGTGATTGCTGTTCATGGCAGGAATTGATCCAGTTACAGAAGTTGTAAGATCAGGGAAGCTTTCACCTAGTGATGCTCCAGTGAAGTCTCTCAGAAACAAGTGCTTGAATTTTTGCCTTTTTGCGTCAGTCAATAAAATATCATGAAGGATGTGCCAGTATCTCATGGAGTAGGTAGGTGAATCTTGTGCCTGTTCAATCCCAGTGCATCTTCTTTTAGTATTTGGAGACTGTTCATTAAAGGTTTAGGGAAATGCCAACAGTACTTATAGTTTGGAGCCAGTCCTTCATGGCAGTGGTCTTAGTTATGCTCATTAGTAGGACCTTGGTCTTTGATGTGAATGGAGGCAGAAGTCCCTGCTGTTGCTTGTGTGTTCTGATGCAGGGGATCATCACTGCGAGCAAGGAACGAACGATTGTGTGAATGCTTAGTCTGCGCTAAAGGTCCACATTGAGATAATATCAGTAGTTTGACTTGATCTTAATTTCTCCTGTTTTGTTTCCTCAGATCACCAGGCTGGGCTCTGAGAGTCAGTATTCTCCTACTCCTTTGCTCAAAATCATTCATATCTGGAGCAGAAGCCCCAGGTGAAATATTTTCTTCATAGTGAAGCAGACAAGTGCCATATGACTTTACTGTGCAATTACCAATGGAATGTTGAAATGCTACATTATATGTGTGGGACTCTAATTATCACCCATTGTGAGGACTGCTGGAATTAGACTTTTTGTAATTAAAAAAATTGAGAATTTAATTTTAGGAATTCGTTATTGCCCACCTTCCTGGTTCCTTGACATAGGAGAACATTTTGGACTTCATTCCAATGTTAGGACAGTAATACCCCTCTAGTTCCAAGAAAATAGAGTGCTGATTGAATCAGCACTAAATGGGATCATTTGAACATTATGCCTTGTGGCATAGGTGAAAACACACACACATACACACAAATCAGAACCTTCTGTTCCTTTCCCTATGACGTGACTGCTCTCCTTCGTCCTACATTGGTTCCTTTTAAGGAGGAAGTAAATAATAAGTAAGTACGTGTCTGGGTTACCTCTCTAGATGCCACTCCCCACCCTCCAAGCCAAAAACTCACTAGATGACAGTGGAGAAAGATTGACCTACTTCAGTCTCCAACAACTCTTCAATGTTGATCAGCAGGTCACAAAGAATGTTCTCTTTTTCCTCCTCTCCCTCCATGTCATTTAGTCCATTTGTCTCCAATTTGCCTCTTCTCTTTCCTGTTAGCTTGGTATGAATCATACACAGAAAGATGGAAAAATCAATCTGTTATTCTTAATAACTATTCAGTTTCCAGTTAAGGAGTTGGTATAATTCATTTCTTGAATTCCCTGTTTCTTCCCCTCCCCTACTTTGTGACCTTTAGGTATTTCCCTTTGCTAGCCAAGCAGAAGCCAGGGCACCCAGAATGTGACATATTATCCAATTTGTTTGCTCTTCTTTCGGCCAAAAGCCTGTGTGAAGTAACAGCTGGTATTGTGATGGACGTGGCCGACAGTCTCCTCAACAACCCTGACTTTGAGCCCAGTGACCAACTTAGCAGCTTGGCAGTAACTGACTGTGTCTTTGTAGATGTCGATGATACCATGGGAGGTAGGAAAGGTCAAGCATCTGTACTCCCCCATTTTAGAGACATACGTTCTAAGACTTAATAGGGTGTATTTTGTGGGTGGATGAAAATATTCTCTACTTATCACAGTACCAAATTAGATGTCATATTTATGTTCTGCGGACTAAAATATTTGTTTTCAAAGTTATCCTGTACAAAACATGGAATGTTATGTAAGAAAAAAGGTTGTGAAAGATATTATAAAGCTTTAGACTTCATACCTGAACAAGGTGGTACATTAAAATCTTCTTCAGAGTCTCACCTTCAAGCATTCCTGCTTTGTTGAAAGAACTTAAGAGCATTGTTCCTTTTCATATCTCATATTTGAGGAGTTCCTTTCCTAGAGATGCTTGCTTAGTCTCCTCTTGATTATTATTTATTATTTATTTAATTTGTATCCCATCTATCTGGTCGGGTCAGGACTACTCTAGGTGGCTAGAGATGCTTGCTTAGTCCCCTCTTAAATGCACTGCCATCATCATGTGAATATTTTTTAAATGATGGAGACAAGGTTGAGCTGACTTGAACTTTTAATTGGCCACTCATTTTAATGTGCTTTGATGTGGCGAAAATTGTTTTTATTTACTGTTAACCAGAATCCTATTGATGATCACTTACATTTTGCATAATTTGCTCAGGCTAATTGATGAGGTGCTGTAATGTGCCTTGGTTGCATGCCTGGTCACATGCCCAATTACATAACCAAGATGTGTACCAGCATCTGATCAATTAGCAGCAGGGAAGTTATGCAAACTATAAACAAACATTAATAAGATTCTGGCAATTCCCTTCTTATTTATTTATTTCTAAAAATGATGTTACTTCTGAAAGTTGTACTTTAAAAGTTCTGTTAGGTGTTTTGGTGTGCTGTATGCAGAAATGAAGGGTATAAATTGAAATAAACAGGGCTGTTTTGTTGCTGTGATGCAGACTAGATATTATTCTTCACCTTTTCCACTTGGGGTACTGAGGACTCTTCTCACATCACTTATCATTTAGAAAATGATAAATAACCACATTGTCTCCATTTCAGATGTTCCCAGCATGGGAGTAAGACTGATTCTATCTCATATTCCCTCACTCCTTCAATATCTCAGCAAAACTACGTTTACTGTGGACAAGGTGAAAAAGAAGAAGTACAGGGGACAAGTTAGCAAAGAACTCAACATTCTTTCAAAGCAAGTAGCTTCTCAGCATTCCTTAGATTTAGAAAGGGTCCCTCTAAATGCAGTGTTTGAATTGTGTACTATATGCTTGGGGGGAGGCTGAAGCTTTGGAAGAGTGCAGACTGCCCTGTTTTTTGTTAAGAGCTGTTATCTATTCACTATCGACACTGGAAATGTAGTAGTAGTAGAGACAAGTACAGTGGTGCCTTGCTTGATGACGGTAATCCGTTCCAGCAAAATCGCTGTACAACGAAATCGTCATCAAGCGAAAGTAAAAAACCCATTAGAATGCATTAAAAACTGGTTAATGCACTCTAATGGGCAAAATACCTCATCGTCCAGCGAAGATCCTCCATAGGGCGGCCATTTTCCGGTGCCTGTTAAGCGAAGAGTCCATCCTAAACACAGCAGGGAGCTATTTTGCACAGCTATTTTGAACCCCGACTATCAGCTGTTTTTAGATCGTCGTAATGCGAAGAATCGGTTCCCAAAGCAGGGAACCGATCGTCATGAAGCGAAAATTGCAGAAGCCTGTGCTGCAGGGTCAGAAGACCAAGCAGTCGTAAGATCGAATCCACGCGATGGAGTGAGCTCCCGTCGCTTGTCCCAGCTCCCGCCAACCAAGCGGTTTGAAAGCATGCAAATGCAAGTAGATCAATAGGGACCACTTCAGTGGGAAGGTAACAGCGTTCCGTGTCTAAGTCACACTGGCCATGTGACCACGGAAGATTGTCTTCAGACAAATGCTGGCTCTATGGCTTGGAAACGGGGATGAACACCGCCCCCTAGAGTCGAACACGACTGGACAAAAATTGTCAAGGGGAACCTTTACCTTTACTAATGCATTCTAATGGGCAAAATACCTCATCGTCCAGTGAAGATCCTCCATAGGGCGGCCATTTTCCTGTGCCTGTTAAGCGAGGAATCCATCCTAAACACAGCAGAGAGCCATTTTGCACAGTGGGTGGCTATTTTGAAACCCGACTATCAGCTGTTTTTAGATCGTCCATAATGCGAAGAATCGGTTCCCGAAGCAGGGAACTGATCATCGTGAAGTGAAAATTGCCCTTTGAAACATAGTTTTGTGATCGCAAAAGCCCATTGTAAAGAGGATTCGTCATGGAGCAGGGTAATCGTCAAGCGGGGCACCACTGTAGTCATCCAAGTATTGTGACAATGCAGTAAATTAAACTATTGACTTGTTGCATTGTTTTGCAAAAATATTATTGTAGTATTTTATCGTATGGGAGTACCCTGTGTGGAGCAGTGGATAGAGTGATGGAGACCAGGGTTTGAATCCCACTCTGCTGTGGAAACTCACTGAGGGCATGGAACTGGTAAAGCCACTCCTTAAACATCTTACTTACCTTGAAGCCCCAGTTAGGGTCACTATTAGTTGTTTTTGACTTGATGGCATATAACTATTTTATTGGGTGCCCTTTATAAGCAGAATATCAGCCAAAGTTTACACTGTCCAGGTTGCAAACCTGGAACAACGGCTTCTAATTTAGAGTTATGATAGATGGCTGCATCAGGCCATAGCTGACCTCTCACTTCTCTTGCCTCTAGAATCAGCAAATTTATAAAGGATAAGAGCCAGAGTTCCATCTTGATTGGTCTCCTCCTTCCTTTCCTTCATCAGAGTAACATTGTGCAGGTATATGTTCATTTATGCCTGTGAAAAGTCTTTTAAGCCATTAAGCTGTGTAGTTTGCCTGAAGAACTTGTGAAATTATCATACGTATATCAGGTTGTGATCTGCTGCTAACTGTTTGGGCCATTGTTTGTACCTCGGCCTCCTTGTGTCTTCCAGTATTTTGTAAATGGTGAAGTACATTAGTGAAGAGCAGAGGTTTGGAATTGGGAAGCCCTGGTTCAAATCTCATCTCATCTCTGACCTCAATGGTGGGACGTACTTGAGTCACCTGCTCTCAGCAATGTTCTCTGTGTATAATGTGTAGATGATAATACTCGTAGTGAAGTACGCTGGAGTATTATTGGCAGAATAGTTGAGATAATGTAAGTGAAGCTCTCTTGGTGGTTAGAAGTAAAAAGGATGAGAATGCTATACTTAAAGAGCTGCTGATGTTAGCATTGAATGATTAAAATCCTATTTCTTGGCATAATAAATTGCACTAGAGCAGGTCCATTTGAACCAGTGGGATTTTGTGAGTCAATTCCTCTGTACATTCATTGATTCAAGCAGGCCTACTCTGTGACTTACTGTGCTAAAGTAAGTTGTAGTTAGAGTAAGCCCATTTGAGTCCATGAAACCTACGGAGGACTTGACTCCTGAAGTCCCAGTTGAATCAGTAGGTCTAGTTTAGTGTAATTTACTGTGTTAAGCAATAGGATTTGGGCTATTATTTGTTTGATTCCATAGTTATTTACAAGTGTGGGAGGAAGAATGATGCTCCTTACAAAGGTGATACGGGATTAATGTCTTGAGAATAAGGATTTGTTTTTATTACCAGTTTTATGTTGCAGAACTTGTAATATGATGCAATGCATTTCTATCAATATTACTATGTAATTTAGAGTTGGCATATACAAATGTTAGGCTTGTAAGATGCTAGTTTTCTATTGACCAGTGTCCACTTTTTAGATGAATTTAGTTGTAGTAGAAATTTGTATGAAGCCTCATCTTAACGATCAGTGTATTGTTGTTCTATTTGTATTTGTAGCTCTTCACAATGTATTTCTTTCTTTTAGGATACAGAAATAGACATACTGGAAACAGTGCAAAATTTGCTGAAGCATTGCCTGAACCCAGAAAGCTTCCTCAAGCCTCTTGCAAAACTGTTTTCTGTTGTTCAGAACAAATTGTCTCGTCAAACACTCTGCATGGTTTTTGAGGTACTGAATCTAAGCGTATTTGACAGTATTTTGTATTATGGAAAGGAGGACCTCCACTCCATTCTGGCTGAAGATGGAGAACAACACTGTTTTGTTCCTGATGTGAAATTAAGTAGAGTATCAGGAATACCCTGTTTCCCGGGAAATAAGACCTAACCTGAAAATAAGCCCTAATATGATTTTTCAGGATGCTCATAATATAAGCCCTATACCAAAAAAAACCCCCAGTTAAATGAAACCCTGCCCTCCACCATTGTGTATCAACCAGAAGAAGATGAAACGACTGTATTTAAATAAATGTAGATTGCTGTTCATGAAAAAAATTCCCTGAAAATAAGCCCTAATGTGTTTTTGGAGCAAAAAATAATATAAGACCCTGTCTTACTTTTTGGGAATACACGGTAGAAAAGTGGTCGAAGAATCACATAGGAGTTTGCCAGGATCCTGTTGGTTAGTCACGCTGGTGTAAGTACAGTGAACTAAATTGCAGCAGTGAATTGCTGCTAGTCTATGAATTGCCACTGTTATGCCTTGTTGTGCACCAACTCACATGATTTGGTTTAGTTGCTGCAAATCAGGAACAATGGCTTTTCAGTGTGTATACTCACTCCATGAGGATGGGATAAATACTCAGCTGTCTCTTTGACCACATTGGTATAAGACAGTGTACTATATGCTCTACTCCCCTTTTGTCATTTTGGAAATATATGAATAATTATTGCATGCTGTCAAGTCGATTCTGGCTTATGACAATCTTTGCCAGGATTTTCTAGATGTACTTGCAAGTGGTTTACCTTTCACTTCTTCTGGGTTTGCTCTGAGGATTTTTAGCTTGCCCAAGACTTCACAGGCTGGTTCTTCTCCCATGAGGCACAGGAAGGTTGCAGAACTCCCAACTCTGGGTTCTGCAACCAGATACCCAACTCACTGAGCTATCCAATCACCTGAGAAACCTATTAGTCTAATAAATATGGACATGTGCAGTAATTTAAATGTTGTGTCATTTATTTAAACATGTCTTTTACTGGGTTTTTTCCAATTTTTTTGGTAGACTTTGTCACATTTGGAAAGTAATCTCAAGTACATTACAGATACTGTTAAGGTAAGTAACCTTTTCTGTGTGTTGTTGCTACCTTTGTTTTGGTATCATTTTGATTTATACGCTCACTAAGCTATTTGTCTTGTCTTAGTTGAATGCATTTGACGCCCGACATCTTGATGATATCAATTTTGATGTCCGTTTATCAGCGTTCCAAGACATCACTTCTCATATCAAGGCAATGAAAACAGTGGATGTCAACTACCTCATTCCAGTTATGCATAACTGTTTCTACAGCATACGGGTGAGCCATTCCCCCATGGAAAATCTTTGCTCTTGTTTTACAGTGATACTTTTGAAAATGTATTACTTTTTCCTCCCCTAATTTCCCCAAGACACCTGTCATCTTCTTCCAACAGAAATGAAGACTCTTGTGATACTTTAAAGGATAAAGGTTTTTATTTGACATTAGGGACTTTTGTGGGCTGCAGCTCTTTTTTAAAAATAATTTGGAAATGAAGAAAATGATGTATTTGTACAGTCTTTTTTCTGCCATTCTCATGTGGTTCCCTCGTACTATCACCTTTGTTGTAACTTCCAGTTCATCATTTTCATTGCCTTTTTCATTTATCATATACAGTGGTGCCTCGCATAACAATTTTAATTGGTTCCAAAAAAAGAACGTTATGTGAAACATCGTTATGCGAAACACCATTTTCCATAGGAATGCATTGGAAACCGGTTAATCAGTTCCAATAGGCACGGATTGCCATCCTTAAGCGAAAAAAACCATAGGAAACCTCGTTAAACGATACAATGTTTCCTCCATTGGAATGTATTGAAGTTGACTCAATACATTTCAATGGCTTTGCGAAGTCAATTTTTGCAAAATTAAGTGTGTCATAAAAGGGTCAAAAATGGTTTTAAATGCTTGGATTAGCTTCTGCACCCTCTAAAACGGATGCAAAAGTTAATTTGGC